TTCTTGTTTCGTCTCCATTTTGAATGCTGGGGGCCCCCTTGGGTCGAATTTTCTGAGGAAAAAGTTTGTTGGATCCATCTGGGGAAATACAACCATATCCCTTTCCCTGTAATGTAAGATTAATTTCCCAGATTTCTATTGTTTATTGAACCCTTCTTGATACCAAATGGGCAGAAGAAGAGAAGAAATTGAATTGTCCTTCAATTCCTCAAAATATCTTTCTGCTCTTGTTAAAATATTTCCCTGTGGTAGGCTTAAAAAATTTAAAATAAATAAAGCTGTATTAACAATAGTTATAGGTTTAGAAAATATGTTGTGTTGGAATCTAGTAAAATCTGCTTTAGATAAGGAAGACAGTAGTGTACCTGTGTATTCCCCCTTCTTTAATTTTTTTTTTATTTGTATCTTTAGTGTGTGATGTGTTCATTCGACTATATCTTGTGTCTGTGGATTATAAGGAATACCTGTAATATGTTTAATAGAAAAAGATTGTAAAAATTGTTTAAAGTGTCTGGAAATATAGGCAGGGCCGTTGTCTGTTTTAATAGAACTAGTAGTTTATGGTGGAGGTTTCTATATTTTTTAATACAAAAACTGAATATATAGAATCAGAGACCATATTAATGGGGTAAGGATGTAGGCAAGTAACTTGAATAAGAGCATATAATTCATTTTGTTGAGCAGAATGGAATTTAGTGTAAAAGACTTTATATTTTTTTTAAGAGATCAGAATGAAGCTTTGGCGTTTTTAGTCCCATCTATATAAAAGAAATGCAAAAAATGATAAATTCGGTGTTTTTGAAGAAATCCCACAGCTTACCAGAAGGATAATGAAATGAAATTTCTCCAAAATATTTTAGAAAAGCTAACTGGAAATCGGTAGAAGTTTGTAATATGTTCTCAAATTGAGATTTATTTGCAATAAAGTTTTATTAAAGTATAAAGGAGATAGAGAAAGCTTCTGGCATAGGCATCAGAAGGGGGCAGAAAGAGTGGCCCCCTGCTAGTCTTTAGCCAGATGTCATATAGCTACTAGCCGTCTGCTTAGTTAGAGAAAGAAAATATCTCAAAACCGAAGAGAATAGCACCAGGCCCCTCACCCACAACATGCATTTTGAGATAACCTTGGCACCAGGTGAGTTGTCCCGGGCCACAAAATGATTAACATGAATCTTGAAGAAAGGCAGATTTCCAAGCAGATACAGTTTCATTAACATAGCTTAAGAAAATATTTGCATGAGTAAAACATACCGGTTTGTCAAGTCTTAGGAAGAACCGACTTGAAGAAAGAATCTAAGGTAAGATTTTAAGACAAACATTTCCATAAGAAAAACGCATTGGTTAGCTCAAGGTTTGAGAAAAGTTAAGTTCAGGTGGAACCAGGTGTCGTTATGGCAGGTTTTAAAATTTGTATAGAGAAGGGGAAAAAATCTAACACTTGTTTGTTTCTTCCTGCCACTTAAGAGAGATAAAAAAAATGTCTGACACTTGCAGCCTATATCCTCCATTCAGAGACCCCTGGCCTTCCTGCCTGTTAGGCCAAACTAGATTGGCCAAGTAAAAGACCAAAGTTTTGTGGGGGCAAGGGCCCAAAACGTCCGGTAGGTATTCTAGAGGGGACTGCTTGAGGGTAAAGGAGAAAGTCATTTAGAGCTGGTATATCAATGGCAGCACTGCCGGATGTTGAGGGTTTGAGGGAAAAGATGGAATTTGCCCCTGGTTTTTGATGAAGGAGACCTGGGTGGGGGGGGGTCCCCTGCTTGGAGTTTCCCAAAATATATTTTCCTTCAAATATAAAATTTAGATTTACACTCTTTGGCCCAATGCATTCCTCTACAGCAGCAGGGACAGACTTTTGGAGGTTTTTTGTTAACTGTCTTAGGGCAGTTCCTTTTTAAATGGTTCTTATCTCCACGTGTAAAGCATCCTTCATTTCCCTTTTTAAAGCAAGCCGCCACTGTCTCAACTAGCATTTGCATTTTTTGTTTCGGATCCTAGATTGCAACAAGCCTTCAAATAATCAAAAATAGTCCCTGTATCATGAATTGGGGCTATAGCCCTTTATATTTCTGATTTGCATTTTCATAAGCAAGTAATTTCTCTAGTTGCCTTTTAGCTTCTTCTCCAATTACTGTATGGGAAATAGCCATTTCTAATCTAGCTAAGAAATCGGCATACGTTTCATTAGGTCCCTGCAATATTTTAGTGTAGCTACCTGTAGGCTCCCCTTGAGGAGTAATTTGATCCCAAGCTTCAAGGGCCACTGTTTTTAATTGATCATGCAACAAAGGAGGGCATCGTATTTGAGCTTCTAAGGCATCAAATTGTCCAGTGCCAGTTAACATTTCGAAAGTAATTTGGTTTGGGGGAGTGCCAGCTCGAGCGTCTTTGTTAGCATGATCTCTGGCTATATCCTGAAACCACACTGTCCATTGAAGATACGCTCCTGGTTTAAGGAGAGCTTTTATTAAAACTCGCCAATCATTGGGAATAAAGGTTCCAATAGAAGATGCCATAGCATTTACAATCTCTCTAGTAAAAGGCTAATGTGGGCCATACAAAGTTATGGCCTTTTTCACTTGTTGCCTGTAAAAAAGGTTAATACCTTCATACTGCGGTGTTATTTGCCCTTGAGCGTCAACATTTCCTAAAACTGGAAAGGCGGAGAAACCTTTAGCTTCAGAGACTTGCACTTGCAAAGCCAGCAATTCAGAGAGCCTTTGTTGCGAAGGGGGTAGATTATTTTTATTGAGAAAGGTGTTATCGGTTTTAATGTTATAAGGTGTCTTAAGGGACTCAGAATCATTAGGTTCTATGAGNACAAAGACAGAAATATAGATTAATGGAACAAAATAGAAAGCCCAGAGATAAATCTATGCATCTCTGGACACCTTATCTTTGACAAAGGAGGCAAGAATGTACAATGGAGAAAAGACAATGTCTTTAATAAGCGGTGCTGGGAAAACTGGTCAACCACTTGTAAAAGAATGAAACTCAAACATTTTCTAACACCATACACAAAAATAAACTCAAAATGGATTAAAGATATAAATGTAAGGCTATAAAATTCCTAGAGGAAAACATTAGCAGAACACTCTGACAAAAATCAGAGCAGAGTCCGCTATGACCCCCTCCCAGAGTAATGGAAATAAAAGCAAAATTAAAAAAATGGGACCTAGTTAAACTTAAAAGCTTCTGCACAGCGAAGGAAACCATAAGCAAGGTGAAAATACAGCCTTCATAATGGAAGAAAATAATAACAAATGAAGCAACTGACAAAGAATTACAAAATAAACAATTACAATATATCTCAAAAATATACAAGCATCTCATGAAGCTCAATACCAAAAAAATAAACAACCCAATCAACAAAATGGGCTAAAGAACGAAACAGACATTTCTCCAAAGGAGACATTCAGATGACTAACAAACACATGAAAAGATGATCCACATCACTAATTATCAGAGAAATGCAAATCAAAACCACAATGAGGTACCATCTCACACCAGTCAGAATGGCTGCTATCAAAAAGTCTACAAACAATAAATGCTGGAGATAGTGTGGAGAAAAGTGAACTCTCTTACACTGTTGGTGGGGATGCAAACTAGTACGGCCACTATGGAGAACAATGTGGAGATTCTTTAAAAAACTGGAAATAGAACTGCCATAGGACCCAGCAATCCCACTGCTGGGCATACCTGGGGAAACCAGAATTGAAAGAAACACGTGTATTCCAACGTTCATCACAACACTGTTTACAATAACTAGGATATGGAAACAAACTAGATGTCCATCGACAGACGAATGGATAAAAAAACTGTGGTACATATACACAGTGAAATATTACTCAGCTATTAAAAAGAATGCATTTGGGTCTGTTCTAATGAGGTGGATGAAACTGGAGCCTATTATACAGAGTGAAGTAAGGCAGAAAGAAAAACACCAATACAGTATACTAACACATATATTTGGAATTTAGAAAAATGGTAACGATAACCCTGTATGCAAGACAGCAAGAGAGACACAGATGTATTGAACAGTCTTTTGGACTCTGTGGGAGAGGGCGAGGGCGGGATGATATGGGAGAATGGCATTGAAACATGTAAATTATCATATGTGAAATGAATCACCAGTCCAGGTTCAATGCATGAGACAGGATGCTTGGGGCTGGTGCAATGGGATGACCCAGAGGGGTGGGATGGGAAGAGAGGTGGGCAGGGGGTTCAGGATGGGGAATACATGTACACCCATGGTGGATTCAATTCAATGTATGGTAAAACCAACACAATGTTTTAAAGTAAAATAAATAAATAAATAAACTTTAAAAAAGAAAAAGATGTGGTATATATATAATAGAATAATATTCAGCCATAAAAAAAGAATGAAATAATGCCATTTGCAGCAACATGGATGTACCTAGATATTATCATATTAAGTGAAGTAAGTCAAAGACAAAGATCATATCATATGATATCACTTATATGTGAAATGTTAAAAAAATGAACTTATTTACAAAACAGAAATAGATCCACAGACCTAGAAAACAAACTTATGGTTACCAAAGGGGAAAGGTGGGGGAGAGAGAAACTAGGAATTAGGGAGTAACATATACACACTACTATATCTAAAAGAGACAAGCAACAAGGATGTATTATATAGCACAGGGAACTATACTCAGTATTTTGCAATAACTGATAAGCAGAAAGAATCTGGAAAAGACTATATGTATGTATAAAATTAAAACACTTTGCTATACACCTGAAACTAACACAACATTGTAATTAACTATATTTCAATTTTTTTCTCATGGGTAAAAAAGCTGAAGGAAAGAAAAAGTCATACTTCAAAACTTCACCCTCTGGCAGAGTGGGTCCAACAACTTGAAATTTTGTGTTTAATCTTTAATTGCGAAACTTGAAAGGCACATATCAACTAATGGTATCATGATAAGGGAATGACTTATCTTTTTTTTTTTTTTTTTAATCTAGCATGGAATCTGCAGCTCTGAACACAGTAAGAGAGCTTTTTCCCTGACTGGGCTCTTGCCCTCTTGAAAGAGGTGGAGTTAGTCAACTATAACAGCAGTTTATAAACACAAGTGGACCTGCCATTAAGCGGCTGAGCCAAGTGAGAGACAGACAGTCCTGAGGTAAGTACTGATTTTATATGTCAGTATAATGTGCCCGGAGCACAAGAAAAACTCTGTTTTGTATTCACATCGTGGCTTCTTAAGAGACATTTCAAGTTGTTTAGTCTACTTTTGTTGGCTATAGCTTTACAGAAGTGTTAAAGTAAAGACTGTAAAACGCTAAGCATGAGAACTTAGATCTGAGAAAAATTCATGATGTGAAGAGAAAAAAGAACGATAGCAGTTTAGACAATCGGAGAATACGACCAGTGTGAACGAGACAGTAGATGTTTTTGCTGAAGTAAGTTTCTCCGTAGACAATCAACACACAACAGGTGCAAACTGTGATGTTGTAACTACGTGGGCTGTGAAGACTGAAAATTAAGATATATTATTACAGGAATAAGTCTGAATGTCAACAGAAACTCTGTGCTGTGATTAGCCAGCTGGCAAGTCCCCTTCTCTCTCTGGGTTTCAAGCAACTCTTGGCAAACCTCCATAAGCGGTCTGGATGGAAAACTAAATAATATGGGAGCAGAAACTAGCTTTTAAAAAGCACAGACATTCACCTGGCTAGAAGGTACAGGGCTTCTCCAGGCGTTCAGATGGTAAAGAATCTGCTTGCAATATAGAAGACCTGGGTTCAATTCCTGGGTTGGGAAGATCCCCTGGAGAAGGAAATGGCAACCCACTCCAGTATTCTTGCCTGGAGAATCCCGTAGACTGTAGCCCGCCAGGCTCCTCTGTCCATGGGGTCGCAAAAAGTCAGACACAACTGAGCCACTAACACTTTCACTTTCAGAAGGCACAAGTCGTTCGAATCGGAATGCAGGAGTGAACAATGCACTGTTGTAAGTACTAATATTGGGGGGAAAACAAAGGCCTTAGAAGGTTTGAAGGAAACTTGTTAAGAGGGGGAAATACGCATACATGTCAACCAGAAATAAGGTGTTAAAGAAAGATCAGTGAAGGGTCTGCATATTCAGGTAAGGAACCAGAGGTTGGAGAGAAGGGATCTTTTTCCATCAGGTGTTGAGAGTAATGAGCTCCTGCTGTGTCTGGGACCCATGCAAAGGGGGTGAGGGATGGGGCAGGAAAGATTCCAGGGAGTCCAGAACGGGGAGTGAGTGGGGCAGGGCCAGGCCTGAGCGGCAAGGCAAGGCAGGGTGCAGGATCCAACCAGGGGCCAGCTACAGTCTTGGGGCTGCCAAAGGGCAATATGCTGAGACATATCTCCCTGAATCTTTGCCAAAAACTTCATGCCATCCAGGTTAACTAGTCGGTGATTATCACTAATATTTCACACAAGCCAAATAAAAAGAGAACCAGCATGACTTAGTTGAAAAAATCTGAATATGTATAAATTCTTATTCCTACAAGACCTTTGAGTCAAGAGGTAAATAGACACACGCACTGCTCAGTATGCTTGGAGACTCGCCCATCTCCCAGGAACTGGGAGCAGGAGGGAAATTTCCTGGTCCCTATTATGAATTTTTTATACTTTAATTTTTTCAACAGCCTTCACTAGAGAACGCTGAGGTAAAGAGATTAAACAACTCCCCTGAGGGTATGTACCTCATAAAGAAAGCAGTTGGGCTTTGTCTCTAAGCCTTCCTTCTCTCGGCTAAGAAACGCTGTCATCAGGGCCCTGCTCCCCACCAGCTCCCAGATATAGCTCCTTTAGTTCACGCTGGATTATCCCAAGATACACTCCCTTTGGGTTTCACAGATGGCCCGGTGGTAAAGAATCTATCTGCCAATGCAGGAGACGCAAGAGACATGGGTTTGATCCCTGGGTTGGGAAGATCCCCTGGAGGAGGGAATGGCAACCCACTCCAGTTTTCTTACCTGGAGAATTCCATGCTCAGAGGGGCCTGGCAGGCTACAGTCCATGGGGTCACAAAGAGTCGGACACGACTGAGTGACTAAGCGCACGCGCACACGCGCGCGCGCGCGCGCGCACACACACACACACACACACTCAGGGAATGTAAACCTACCTCCTTGTGAAGGTCAAATATAGTTATACTAGCGCTCAATTTACTCATAGTAAGTTTTTAGGGTTTCAGGTAAAGTAAGGTATGCTTTTATGCGTCCTCATATCAGTTCAGTACAGTTCAGTCGCTGAGTCATGTCTGACTCTTTGTGACCCCATGGACTGCAGCACGCCTGACTTCCTTGTCCATCACCAACTCCTGGAACTTGCTCCAATTCATGTCCTTCCAGTCAGTGATGCCATCCAACCATCTCATCCTCTGTCGTCCCCTTCTCCTCCTGCCTTCAATCTTTCCCGGCATCAGGGTCTTTTCCAATGAGTCAGTTCTTCACATCAGGCAATCTTGATTCCAGCTTGTGCTTCCTTATATCAATCAAGCCCCTAGGAATCAGCTAACAGAAAAGGAACTCATGAATTTAATGTTTCCTTCTCTCCCATTTAACTGTTAATTGACTAACGGATTCTGAATGGGGAACAAACTAATATTGAGGGTCTCAGAGATCAGCAGAGAGAGGGCATACGTGTTACCTGGTTGGGGTGGGAGCCCAGATCAGAAGTCAGAAGATGCTTTCAAAGGACCCCAGTGCTCACAAAATGAGTGAGCTAGGAAAGGAGCTTCAGCTCTTTGAACTTGAGTTTCCTCCTTCTGACAATAGGATACTGGAAGCTGTTTCCCTGAGTTGTCCTGGGGTGGACACACTTGCTAGATATTGAGTGTGAATCGGGAACACACATGTGTGACTGATGGCAAGTCACTGAATCTCTCTAGTTCTCATTTTCTGGGGACCAGGAGGTTTATATCACATTTGCCCCAGCCTTCAAAAGATGAAGAAAAATATTATAAGAAAGATATGATAAAATATTATGTAAGTTAAAAATTCTTTTCCCTTTGTAACGTGATCCTTGGTCATTAGATAAGGGAGCTTAGTGTGAGAGGGAGCTTAGTGTGAGGGTAATCTGTGACTTCCACCTCACAGAGACACATTCTCAGAATTCTGCTGAATCACAGCTCCTCCCTTCCCCATGATAAGAAAAGTACAATATATACAATCTCCAACTTCCAGACAGATGAGATAAATAGGTTTCCAAGGGATCCTTTATTTTCCAAAGGTTAGACCATTGATCTCACATTAAAAATGCAGATATTGAAAACATTTGATATCTAAAATTCAAGTCGTGTATATTTTTCAGGAGATGATTATTGGGTAAAGAGAAGTATATTTTTTCCCAAGCTCCATAACAACAAAATTTTGCAAGAGAATCTTAGCGCTTTCTAAACATTGGGATTTGCATAGAAAATGCAGCTGTTTGTCCATACATCCTGGCTTTGGGACTCCTGCTTTTAATGAGTCCTGTGTGTTCCTCCATTCACACTCATAATAGAACTAGTTCTGTCCAGAGCCTTTGAATTTCATTCTCTAGCTCCCTGCTATGTCCACCCCTCAGGCAGGCTGCTATAGACCAAGAGCTTTTAAACGTCATTGAGTGGACCCAACCAAAGTATCTCTTACCATTGCAATGACCAGATAACTGTGCTTTCCTTTACCCATACACACATCAGAACTAAAATTTCATGGAATGATGGTTACCTCTTGAACATTGAAGGCACTTTGATATTTCCTATTTCTATTTTTTTCTACTTTAAAAATTGGTGGATGTCATAGTCCACTGAAGGATTGTCATGCACATTTGGAAAAACACTAATATGGAAAAATGAAACCAAGCTTTGGCTTCATATAGAAGTAGCTTTGAATTCCAGGTCCACCACCTACTTTGGGCAAGTTACCCTAGAAACTTCAACATTCCCAACTGCAAAATGAGAGCAATGACAAACTTCACAGCAGGTGATTTTGGGAGGGTTAAATGAAGATAAATTTGTGACAATGCCCACCACATGATAGACATTGAACAGATGTCGGTTCCCTCCCAGACGGTAAAGTTCATGCAGCAACATCCCTTGTTCTAGATAGAAGATGTACCAAGAGAGGTAGAATCTAGAACTGCAGAAAATGGAAGGACTTAGCATCCCAAATGTGTAGAAAGAATTAGGATTTTTGAACAACAGTTAACCAAATTGAGTCCTAATTTCAGCTTTTGAACAAATGCAGTGTAACAGCCAAGGAGATGGACATGGCCACTGTCTCCACCTCCCCCTCCTCCCTCTTTGAAGCCCTCTGGCTCCAAGGCCCCTCCCTCCCAGGGTCCCAGGGCCTGCATCTGTGTAGGTTCCAGCCTTGTCTTCATTTTAATCCTAGGTGTGGATATCCACATCCATCACTAACTGGATTATGACTGTGAACATGTCACTTAACCTCTGAGCTTTGGTATTATTAACTAAAAAAACCACAAAAACTAGTTCATAGGATTATTGTGAGGATTAAACATCCAAAGGGGTTAACAGTGGGGCAGGACCATTAGGAGGTTTTCAGTAAATACTAGTGCTCAGGACTTCCCTAGTGATCCAGTGGCTAAGACTTCATGCTCCCCAATGACTGAGTTCAATCCCTGGTCACAGAACTAGATTCCACATGCTACAACTAAGGAGTTTGCTTGCCACAACTAAAGATTCCACATGGTGCAACTGAAAAGAAGATCCTGCCTGGCACAGAGAAGATCCGTTACAGTCAAATAAATGCATTAATTAAAAAAATATATATACTAGTTCTCTAGTCCTTTCCCTCTCTAATACCCACCCATCATCCTTACCACAGACTTGACTCTTAGCCTGCCAGGACAATCAGATTTTACCCAGTGGAGACTGGAGAATGGCTTCGTACAATTTTCCATGATTGGTTAGAGGAGGTGATAATTTGGACCAAGGAAGACATTCCAGGGACTGTTCCAACTCTGCCATGAAGGAGGTCGACACTTCCTCTGCCCTGTTGGTGCTGTTCAGCCATATATCATAAAGTGCATTTGGCTTCTGTGGTTTTATCTTTGTTCATTCATTCACTTACTCATTCAATTCATTCATCAATGTTCAGAGAAACCAGGAGACTGCCATCATGGCGGGGAAGCCCAAGTTACACTACTTCAATGGACGCGGCAGAATGGAGTGCATTCGGTGGCTCCTGGCTGCAGCCGGAGTGGAGGTAGGTTTCATCTCCAGTTGGATATAAACTACCAGCATCAAACTATTTTTCTCACGTAAGCTAGAAGACTTTTCCTTCTAAATGACCTGTTATTTTCATTAAAGAAAATTTGTCAGCTATTAAGAGATAAACAGATTTGCCCTGATGGATTATTAAATTTTCTTCCTATCAAAGAGAATAAACAATTAGAATAAATTTAAGAAACTAACCACATTGTGTGGTCCTAAGTTGGAATTTGATTTTTAAAATTGTAAAATATTATGTATGACAGTTATACAACAATTAGAAATGTGAACATTAAATATCAATAGATAATTCAGTAATTTTGTTAATGTGTTAGGTATTATAATGTACTGTGTTACTTTTAATAGTTTTTGTATTTTGGAAATACACACTGAAGTATTTAAATGAAAAAATGTGATAGCTGGGATTTGTTTCAAATTCTTCCAATGGGGAGGGGGATAAGCATATAGATGACTTACAATTGGGTCATTGAGCTGACGATTATTGAAGCTGGTTAATGGATACCGATTCAATGGACATGAGTTTGAGTAAACTCCGGGACCTGGTGATGGACAGGGAGGCCTAGCATGCTGCAGTCAATGGGGTCTCAGAGTTGGACACAACTGAGCAACTGAACTGAACTGAATGGATACAGGAATAAATGAAACAGATGCAGTTCCTGCCCTTGGGCATCTTACACTCTATGAGGATGCAGACAAGGAGATGGGTGATTAAATGCAGGGTGGGAGCACCTAGAAGGACACGCAAACATTTTAGAGTTACAATGCCATACTCCCAGAAGCAAATTTGTAGGTTTCTGTGGGACTCTGTTGCCTGCTGCCCCCTAGAGGTGTCACTGAGAAAAGCACTTCTCAGCCCAGGTCAGAGGGACCCAGCAACTCTGTGAGGGTTCCCTGGGGAGGGAGTCGGGGTCAGACTCTGGAGATTGGTCCCCTAAGGGAGAGCAGAAAAGGAGGGCTTCAGGTGAGGCAGGGTTCTGCGAAGGGAATCTCTAGTATGCTCCCTTAGCTTCCTAACAACATGTTTACCTAAGCCTCAGATAACACTTTCTCCATTGCTTCATGCTTGATCCATTCTCAAGTGTGTGAAGAAATAAGTACACAAAAAAATTCAAACAGTGCCACTCTAGATTGCTTAATTTCTAATAATCAACAACCAACAGTTTTCACTGCGGTCCAGCCTTGGGGTTCAGGGATGTGTTCAGAGTTCCTGGGCAGGATAAGTTCAGCATAGGAGGGTGCTGAGATGCTGAGAGCATCCAGGCTTCCTCTTGTCCAGCCCAGCCTGACGGAGGGAGATGTAGACTGTACAGACTGACCCTGTAAGTTCATGAAGATCCACAATAAACTGTTTAGCAAGTTAGAAACTCCCAATTCCCAAACTCTTCACCATCAAGAATCTACACATGAAAGCCGTTCAGTCATATCTGACTCTTTGCAACCCCATGGACTGTAGCCCACCAGGCTCCTCTGTCCATGGGATTCTCCAGGCAAGGATACTGGGGTGGGTTGCCATTCCCTTCTCCAGGGGATTTTCCCGACCCAGGGATTGAACCCAGGTCTCCTGCATTGCAGGTGGATTCTTTACTGTCTGAGCCACGAGGAAAGTCCCTCACCATCAAGACCCCTTTTAAAATATAAACTTGAGTGGAAGGAGGTAATATACATCAGAGGCCCCTGGTGACACCTTGTGGGTCACTGACCCCACGGATACTCCATGCTGGGGGACACACAATACCCTGTCCTGACCTTATAGGAAGAGAAAGGCTTTCCAGAGATATTAAAACTCCATAACCAGAACTTGCCATCCATTCCCTCCATTGACATCCTCCTCCCAAATCATGTCTAATGATTGACAGAGATGGAGACAGTGTGGAGGGGAACCAAACCGGCAAAATGAGCAGTTATGTGCTACAACCCACACTTTTATCTTGGTGGCTCTAATCTGAATTTCCAAGAAGCCACAATCACTGTCCTCTGCCAAACTCGGAAATCTTATCCTCAACATAGCACCAGACAGGGGACATTCAAGTTCAGCAATGAATGCTATGGAAGGAAATAACAGAGACTCATTGACTGTTTCTGTTTTTCAGTTTGAAGAGAAATTTATAGAACAACCAGAAGACCTGGATAAGTTAAAAAATGGTAAGACCAAGAACTAAATTCCTCTGATGGCAGTATCTAGTAGAAGTCTTCAGTTGAGGTTAGAACATTAGCAATGCCATGTGTGTGCATGGTGGGTGTGCATCAGGGGAGTGGGAGAAACGTGATTAAAGGTAAGGGCTGGGGCTCCTTGAGGAGGTCTTGCACCTCACCCAGGACTTAGAAGGGCTGGAACTCGAGTATTTGCTAAAGGAGCCAGCCCCGGTGCCCCGTGAATGCCCTCTCTGGGCTCTCTCTGCCTTTCTGCACTGTGAGTGACCATATCAGTTCAGGATGCCACACAGCCCTCCCACCCACAGTCAGGAAAACACACGCATCAGAGAGAAGAGAAGAGAAAGAGGCCCAGCCGTTGCCATGAGTCCTTTTTGTTAATGGGTTTGAAAAGGTAATATCGTAGCAATATTGCAGACTCAGATAACCAACTGGTGTTGAAATGGTTTGAAGTCCAGGTGAGCGTGTGAGGAGGGAGATGAAGCACAAGGGCCAGAAGCAATAGAGCTGGAAAAAGAGGGCGGCCCCGCGCACTGTCTGATGGTGGGATTTGATGAGCATACAAAACACCATATGTAGGAGTCTCTCTTAGAACTGCCCTTAATGCCATGAACCACAGGAAGCTTCCTTTAGAAATATCTCATTTGACTTGGCAACTGGCTAATAGAACCTCTCCTATATTGTTCCTAGAAAATCCATGAAGGCAAGTCAAATACATAAAATAAAGACACATACCGTGATCTGGATGGGAAATAAAAAGTGAAATGAAATGACAGATTGAAAAGGAAGAGGGAAATTGATAGGAAGGACTACAGGAAGCTAAAAGTAAAATGTTATTTCCACTGATATTTTGCCAAGTAAACATTTTTGTTTCCTTTTATGTTTTCAGTCATTTCAACAAAATTTTTGATTCATAAAAAATTTCAGTTTAATTAAACAGCGTGGCTCATCCAACATCTCACTCTATTTCTTTTCTTCTTTCAAAAGATGGGAGTTTGATGTTCCAGCAAGTGCCAATGGTTGAAATTGATGGGATGAAGCTGGTGCAGACCAGAGCCATTCTCAACTATGTTGCCACCAAATACAACCTCTATGGGAAAGACATGAAGGAGAGAGCCCTGTACGGTATCTTTTTTCTGTTCTTTCATCTGTGATTAATAGGAACAATTTAGGTGCTTCCCTGAGTGAGCAGGATGTGCTCACAGAGATCATGACCAACAGCAGTATACACCTTCATGGTGTAACTGAGGTCCAGTACTACAGAAACCTTTGAGGGTGAGGGAAGAGTAAACTTGTATTGGAACCAAGAATTTACGTAGGACTTCCCTGGTGGTCCGTGGCTAAGACTCTGCATTCCCAATGCTGGGGACTCAGGTTTGATCCCTGGTCAGGGAGCTGGATTCCACACGCTGCAACTAAAAGTTCCCACATGCCACAACTAAGACGCAGCACAGTCATATAAATAAATTAAATAAATTCATTTTAATATATTTATGTAAGAGGATGTGGATCATGGATATAGAACAGTGACAGAGGTCTCCAAATACAGATGGACTATGAAGCTGAAAGGATGGTGGAGCCATGATACCAGAAGCTCAGTCCGTTTTGAGCTTAACACCCACCAACAGTTAGAGACAAGGGACAAAGCATCTGAGTGTCTAGAGGATAAAGCCTTAGAAGGGAAGGCTCTCGAGGAGATGATTTTTAAGTTCCAGAAATTATAAGAATGATGACCAGGAACCTGATTTATCAGTCTTTTATATGAACCGGTTGCTTGACAAAGGTTAGCAGATATTGAGCCCAAGATGCTAGTGTTGTCTGGAACATTTGAATATGTCTATAGCAGCCAGAGGCTTCCCTCATAGCTCTGTTGGTAAAGAATGCCTGCAGTGCAGGAGACCTGGGTTCTATCCCTGGGTCAGGAAGATCCCCTGGAGAAGGAAATGGCAGCCCACTCCAATATCCTTGCCTGGAAAATCCTGTGGACAGAGGAGCCTGGTGGGCTGCAGTCCATGGGGTCGCAAAGTCAGGCACAACCGAACAACTAACACTTCACATGTAGCAGCCTGACTTATTCATTGCAGCCATATTTGGGGGGCACCTCCTCTGTGTTGTGATGGGACCATATGATTGAATCATGAAATGTGGCAGTTACTCAAAAAATTATACATAGAGTTACCATACAACTCAGCAATCCTCTACTAGGAATATACCCGAGAACTAAAAATACAATCACACTAAAACTTGTACACAGAAGTTCATAGAGCTGTTGTTCATAATGTTCAAAAAGCGGAAACAACACAAATGTCCATTAACTAGTGAATGGATGAACAAAGGCAGGCATATCCATACGATGGAATACCATGTGACCAGAAAAAGAAATGAAGTCCTGATCCATGCTACAACATGGATGGAACTTGAAAACATTCTCTTATAGAAAGAAACCAGACCCAAACAATACATATTGTAGGATTTCCTTTGTCTGGCACATTCAGGACATTCCTGGTTATAAAACCAAAAGCAGTTTAGTGACTGCCAAAGCTGGAGAGAGGAAGGAATGTTGAGTGCCTGAAAAAAAAACCAAAAAAACAAAAAACTCAGCATCTCTTTTGGGAGGGATGAAAATATTAATATTTTAGAATTAGAGTATGATGATGGTACAGAATCCTGAGACTTTGAACAGTTTTACACTAGAAAAGGGTGACACTCTGGTATGTGAATTATATTTCAACAAAGCTTTTACTTAAGAACACTTTTGCAGGAAACCATCTTTGGAAGAAAAACAACAAAATTACCTGGAATATGCACTGTGAGAACAGAATGAAGAAATGCACTATTGCAGGGGATACTTTGGGTAGAATCTTGAGAAATGCAGACAAAGCCAGAGTCCAGCAACAGTATATGAAGAGCATTGTGAAACCATATTCTATGTGAAGTAACTGGAAGAAGTGCTGGTATTGGGCAGCTAAATGAGCCTTGTGTTATAACAGGACAAGAGAGGGAAAAGGATGTGACAGGGGCGGTGGTGCCAGGATTCTCTCTCGATATGACTGAGGTGGTACTAATGTGTCACACTAACTGTGGACAGACCACACCACAGCAGAGATGGCAAACCCAAGTGTGGTCTCGTGGTTACCCGCCCTGATTCCACCCTTTTCTCTCATTCTTGTGACTCTGGATGGGTCACTAATATGCTCTTCCTATATTTGGCCATGTGTATAACAAAAAGATTAGACATATATATCTATCTAGATGATTTGTTTTGGAATGAAATGTTAAAATTAATTTTTAAAAATCATAACTGTATGACTGGCATAGAAAGATGCACCCAATGGAGGTGAATTACTTTGCTATTTCTTGATGCCCTACTCTTAGCCCTTCTAAAGTGTAAAACCTAAGGCAGGAGATATCTGACAATTTGGTCATTTTGTCTTTTCAGGATTGATATGTACTCAGAGGGTGTGGCAGATTTGGGTGACATGATCATTCTTTTGCCACTGTGCCCACCTGATCAAAAAGATGCCAAAATAGCTCAGATCAAAGAGAAGACAACAAACCGTTATCTCCCTGCATTTGAAAAAGTGAGTGGACTGTTCAGTATTTTTGACACTGAGATCAGAGGACAAAGGGAAATAGTGCTTGGCATTGCTAGGGCATTGACCTTCACCTCTGTGAGACTATCTGAATACTAATGTGGATGAGACATATCTAAACAGATATGGGGGTGGTGGGGTGGAGAAGAAAAGACAGAGGAAGAGTTATTCAGGAGAAAACAATCTACAAATTTTGGGGACATGGCTCTCAGACTTTTAAAGAAAGTCATACAAAACCAAGAAATTAATGTTCCATCATTACACCTAGTATACATCTTCGTAGTAATGTTTCTCTTTAAATGTAAGAGAAGAACATTTCATGATTAGACTACCTTAAAGCATGCTAAACAGAAATCACAAACTGAAAAAAAAATGATTGTAAGAGATACAGGAGGCTTACATGTAAATAAAAAGCTTAACACCAACACTGTCATCTTTATAAAATTTAAATCATTCTTTCATTAACTTCACAAGTATTAATTTGTTGCTTATGTGTCAGGGGGAGCAGAAGGTCTGAGGTCCCCACCCACCCAGTGAGGGGCAGAGGCGGACGTGGGGCTGGGTGAGGGGCAGGGGAGGAGCAGGGTCCAGCCTGGCAGGACCTGCATTCCTGATCTGACCCCTCCATTCGCCAGGTGCTGAAGAGCCACGGACAAGACTATCTTGTGGGCAACAAGCTGAGCAAGGCTGACATCCACCTGGTTGAACTTCTCTACTATGTGGAAGAGCTGGACCCCAGCCTTCTGGCCAACTTCCCTCTGCTGAAGGTGAGCTCTCCCACGGCCCTGGGGGCCCAGCCACACCCCCCACCTCGGCATCTTCTCTCTGGACCGTGGGACTGGGATGCTAGGGTCCACACGGTGTCATTTCCCCCCCTCAGCGCCTGTTCCTTCTCTCACATGCTGGTCTCTCTCTGCCCATCTCTCTCCCCCTCTTAGAGCAGATTGGTTCTGACTTGCCTCACAGATTACCATTCATATTTTCTGTCTTTACTTCCAGCCCCATTTCCCTATATTTTCATTTTCCTGTCTTGATATCTGACACATTTCTTTTCCTCATACTGCACTCGAGGGTGAACCTGCAGGACTGATAAGTAGGAAGTTCAGGAAGTTGAATGGAGTCTCGCACTAAGACATCTCTGGGGGAAACGCTATCGGGCTGTCATCTTCCCGTCTCACTGGGTGTCTGTGTCCAGTCTCCTGCTCGTGCTGATGGAGGGGCCTTGGTGGCCCTTGTCTAGGAGGGTCTTGGGGTCCCTGGCTTGTGTCAGTGATGGGGCTGGTCTTTATCTGCACTCTGACCTGTGCTCTTGTGGATTGCAGGGCCTGAAAACCAGAGTCAGCAATCTCCCAGCCGTGAAGAAGTTTCTGCAGCCTGGCAGCCAGAGGAAGCCTCCCATGGATGAGAAAAAATTGGAAGAAGCAAAGAGGATTTTCAGGATTAAATAAAGCAGGCAGGGCTGCCCATGACATGGAGGATCACTCTTCTGAAGTTCTCCAGCAATGAAGTGCTTTACCTAAATGTAGATCCTGGCTATTGTGGAACTAATAAACTTTTTCAAAGTATAGTTGATGATTTAATTAGAATGCAGATTTAGTTGCAAAACAATCTATTTTGTTTTGATCACGTATACAATCATGATCTCCTCCCAGAATGTGTTTCAGGCCTAAACATAAATAAAGGGAGAAAAGTATCATGGACTGTTTGATCTGTTCAGAAAAGTTATGCATATACCAGCTAACACTGTCAAAGTGAGTCAAGTAGAAATTTTCATCGATGTGCTTGGTGTCAGAAAAATAGCCTTTTCTTTTTGCATTTTGCTGCCCTTCTGATCCATAACCTAAACCTTTTCTTTGGTTTTTCAGACAACCTCTTTCCTTCACGTTATCAACCCCTTTTTCTATTCAGTTATGGAATCTTTAATTTATATCTAATATGGAACATTCAGTATTCCAGGAACATGATAACTAAGGATAAACAAACCAGATATAGTCCCTGTCGTCAAGGAGGTTACATTAGTAAGAGAAACAACAAAATGGGCAATTCTCATCCAACACCATGCCTGTTGAGTATCATTCCTGGGTAAGTTGTGACATAAAGACACAAAAAGATCTGTTACAAATTATTTGCAGAGAAGGAAATGGCAACCCATTCCAGTGTTCTTGCCTGGAGAATCCCAGGGATGGGGTCGCACAGAGTCGGACACGACTGAAGTGACTTAGCAGTAAAGTCTACTACTACTTTATTTAGAGGACAGGTGTAAGTGAGAGCAGGAGAGAGTGGGGTAGACACACCTGTCCCTGCTTTCTTCATCCCATCTGGACCCTTCTTTGCCCTTGAATCTATTCCTCCCTTTCCCCAGCAGTCTATTTATTAACTAGCAAGAGGGCAAATAAGGGATCTTCTAGGGTTGATTTTGCTAATTTTTTTGAGGATACCGAGCACCATTTCACCATATTCTGTACCCTTATCTGACAGTCCCTCCCAGAACTGAGTTTTCTTTTCATCCAGGGTTCAGAAGGAAAAACAAAAAACAAATCATATCATCACGCACCAATAAAAAGTAAGCTGTCCAGATGGAAATAAAATCTAATTAGGCAATAAAAGTAGAGATTGTGAAATGGTTCAAAAAAAAAAAAAGTATTTGCATTTGGTCTTTGATCCCTACATCATCCAGCATTTTCATTTTCATGGAGATATACTACATATGTGTGTGTATTTACATACATATTTAAAAAATATATTTTAATACATATTTATATTTATATAAATGTAAGTAGATATTACTCTGAATGTCTTGGGGGGATTGGATCAAGATGTGAGCTATTATAAATAGTGTTGTGTTCATAGCTCAGTCGTGTCCAACTCTTTGCAACCACATGGACTGTAGCCCACCAGGCCCCTCTGTCCATGGGCTTTCCCAGGCAAGAATACTGGAGTGAGTTGCCATTTCCTTCTCCAGGGGATCTTCCCGACCCAGGGATCAAACCCTGGTCTTCTGCATTGCAGGAGGTTCTTTACCATCTGAGCCATCAGGGAAGCCCATTATATATAGCAACTTGTCAATTTTCCAAAATCTTCTGGAAGAACAAATCTGTATCAGAAACATTCTTCCAACTAGAGCTGCTTGGACACGGCAGCTGTGCGTCAGCACAAGGTTAATTTGTGTTGACTATGATCCCCACAATCTTTGATCACTTCCCCTCTGCACTCTACTGCTATGTTTGAATATGTTGTCCTTTGAATCTTTCAACTTAGTTGCAACATTCTAAGGCAGCAGGCCAGACAAACATACCCCATTTTAAAAAATTTAGATTTTGACTCAGGAATTGATAAAGTCTTCTTAAGGATGATGGTTCCAATAAACCATATTTTAAAGCTTTTATTCATTGTTTTGTTTAGCGAATGTTTACTGAGCACCTATTTTGTTTCTTTGATCTTTCAAGGCACAAAAGATACTATGGTACATATTAGAGCATTTTCCTGCTCAGATAATGAATAAATAAATCAATTTTAAAAGTTAATTATGCTTAATGACAAATGCTATTATATAAGGAAAATAAAAGAGCAATGTGACGGATGGTGATGGGGCGATGGTTAACTCTAAAGGAGTGGTCAGAGCAGACTAAGTCCTTACTGACAGGAAAAAGCCAGCATGAGAAGACCCAGGGTAACAGGATCTGAACAAGAGGGACCAGGGCCTTGGTCAGGAACAACTTTGGTGTATTCCAGGCACAGTAGGCAGGCAAGCATGGTGGGAGGCATGGTGAGAAAGTACGAAAGATGAGGTCAGAGAGATAGGCATGGGTGTGTCTGTTATCTCCTGCTACATAACAAATCACCCCCAAAGTTTAGTGATGTTGAGCTGACCAGTTATTACCTGAGACAATTTCTGAGGGTCAGGGATCTGGTAGCAACTTAGTTGGGTGATTGTGGGTCGGGATCTCCCAGGAGGCTGTATTCAAGCCCTCAGCAGGGTCTGCACTCATCTGAAAGCTTGACTGGGGATGGGGGATCCACTGCCAACATGGTTCACTCACAGCTGCTGGCAAAGACCTCCTTGTCCACCTCTTCATGGGGCTGCTTGAGTGTCCTCATGCTGGATCCGCTAACTTTCCCCAGAGTAAGCAGTCCAGGAAAGACCAAGACGGAAACAGCAATATCTATGACCTGGCGTTGGAAGTCCTGGTTCCAAGGGCCGTGATAGATTGAGGAGATGGCCTAGAAGGGACGGGGCCAGCCAAGGAGTCTGAGGAGGAGGCATCTGTGAGGCAGGGGAGTGTGGCATCACACCGCTGGAGACTGAAGACGGCAGGCAGCGGGGTGCTGAGACAGACGTCTGACGGTGGGGCCGGCGGGGGTCGGGGGCAGGTTCTTATGGGAAGTTTGATGTAAAGACGGCAGCCATTGACAGCCCTTTGGAGAAGGCTCGCGCCGCAAAAGGCAGATGAGTGGGATAATAGAGATCTAGGACAGAAAGGAAGGGTTAGGCTCAGCTTTATTTGTAAATATGGGAAGTCACCCACGTACAGCAGAAGCGGGTGTCCCAGCCGCAGAGGTTCCTAAAGCCCTACGATGTCAGACCCCAGGGAGTGCAAGTGCGCCACCTAGTGTTCAGCCGTGGCATCCGCCAGACTCACTGCTCACGGTAGGTGGGGCCTCTTCAGTTGAGAGCAATCAGCTTGCTGGAACAGAAAAATTGTTTTCTGAAGCCTGTGCTCTGGGACAACCCAGAGGGGGAGGGAGGGGAGGGAGGTGGGAGGGGGGTCCAGGTGGGGGGAAACACATGTATACCTCTGGCCGATTCATATTGATATACAGCAAAAACCATCACAATACTGTAATTATCCTCCAATTAAAATAAATAAATACAAATTTTAAAAAGTCGTAAATCCACATACACTGCTCCCAAGAGAAACTAAAACTGCTGATGGAAGGCTAAGTGGGAGCGTTGTCCTCTCTTCCCCTTGACACTTTTCTTTTTTTTCCCTTGACACTTTTCTTATGCCCTCATCTCTTCACCTTCTTCCATAAGTCCTTCTGTTCCATGTCCTTTTCCATCCTCCGCTTCTATGATACAGATCAGAGTGATGCTTCCACAAGCCAAGGAACCCCAAGGACTACTGGCAAGGAGAAGAGCATCACGGAACAGATTCTTCCTCAGAGCCTTCAAAACGAACCAACCTTGTCCACACCTTGATTTCAGGCCTCCAGAGGGAATACATTTCTGTTGTTTAAAGCCACCCAATGTGTGGTCATCTGTTACAATGGCCACAGAAAACTAACACAACTACTTTGCAATAAACAAGAATGAATACACCCAACAGCATAGTTGGATTTCAAAATGATACACTGAGTGGAAGAAATTAGACCAAAAAGCAAAAACAAAATTACTTGTACGGTTCTATTTATATACAGTTCTGGAAAATGCAAACTAGTTTATTTTGGCAAGAAAGTAACACATAGTAGGAAAGGAGCAGGGAGAAGACAGTCCAAGGGCATAGGACATACTATGTTCACCATATTGATTATGATTCTTTCGTGGGTGTATACCTGTCAACACTTGGACTTCCCTGGTAGCTCAGATGGTAAAGAATCTGCCTGCAAGGCAGGAGACCAGGGTTGAATCCCTGGGTCAGGAAGACCCCTGGGAGAAGGGAATGGCAACCCACTCCAGTATTCTTGCCTGGAGAATTTCATGGACAGAAGAGGCTGGCAGGCTACAGTCCATGAATTACAAAGAGTCGGACATGACTGACTAACACACACATGTTACACTTAAAGTATGTGCCATTTATTATATGGCAATTATACCCTCAAATATGATGCTAAGACTAAACGAGGCAAGTAAAACCCCCCAAATCTATCCTGTGATGGTCATTCTGGACAATTCCTCTCTTCCCCCCACGCTGCCTCTCTTTCTTCTGGGAAGTTGTCATCTAATTACAGTCAGGCTTTGGTCTCTCCTGTCCTACACCCCTTAGCCACCTACATCTCCACCCCTTAAAACCAACAGCAACAACAAGCACTCCAAAACAAATCCAAAAAGTCCTCTTTCGTCCCTGGCTGGTTTTCCGTTTACTTCCTTCCCTCTTTCCCGTCACCTCCAAAACTCAAGGAGTCTTTACTCTGACTTGACCCCTCTCCAAAGTCCTGAGCTTTGGTTTCTTACCGAATGAACTAATCACCGTATTAGTTCTAATAGTTCAAAACTCTTTCCTCATATCTATCCTCTTTGATGTCTTCACTGCAGATCCAAGCTCTGTCTCTTCTTCTATCAGCAACTTTCTGCCAGACCCCCGCCCTCCATCACTCTAGCACTGACATTGTCCGTACCGCTCACTTTCTTAGTTTTGTGATTCACACGCCTTCCTTGCCAACATGCTGTCACACGAATCCTATCCAATCCTGCTTCATTTCAAAAGGTCAGAATTTTCACAAAATAAATAACACATTATCAGTGACAGCCCTCCCCCATCCGGAGCTCAGGCTTGTGAAGAAGGCTCTGAAAAGGCGCCAGTGTCTGACGTTGGGCAGAAATGCAGCATGTGGCAGGGCAACCAGGATGAGGCCGAAGAGCGGCATGATAGGGATGTGAAGCAAATTAAACAGGGTCTGTCCCAGAGACGGGTTGCAGGGGGAGGCGAGGGCAGAGTTCTACTTTATCTTTTCCTGCTTTAATGAAGTATAACTGACAAATGAAATTGTACAGTATTTTTAAAATGTTTGATATACATCGTGAGATGGTTGCCCCCACCAAATTAATTAACACATCCATCATCACCATACATATTTACTTTTTATTTTTATTTTTTCATATTTACTTTTAAAAAATATAATATAATGCTACCATGGAGAAGAAAATGGCAACCCCCTCACCAGGAGAATTTCATGGACAGAGGAACCTGGTGGGCTACAGTCCATGGGGCCGCAGAGAGTCAGATACCACTGAGCAACTAACACACATGTTACCAACTAGGGCCACCACGTTATACATTAGATCCTCAGAACTTATCCTATCACTGAAAGTTTGTACCCTTTGTCCGGTGAGAGCTCTACTTTTATTCTTTTATTTTTTTGTTGTTATGTATTTATTTATTTGGCTGTGCTGGGTCTTAGTTGTAGCATGTGGGATCTCGTTCCCTGACCAGGAATTGAACCCAGGCCCCCTACGTTAGAAACGTGGAGTCTCAGCCACTGGACCACCAGGGAAGGCGGGGGAGCTCTACTTCAGATGGGTAGTGAGGGAAAGCCACTCTGGGGAGGTGACATTTGAACTGAGACACAATGTAAGAAAGAGGCAGACAGGCAAGGAGTTGGGCAAGACAGTTCCAGATGGACACACCAGCATCTTCAAAGCCCTGGAGTGGAAAGCAGTGTTTGGTACCCCCAAGCCAAAGGAGGCATGACTGAAGGGTAGGGGGTGGCTTCCAGCACGAAAAAGAAAGGGTTAGTTGCTCAGTCACGTCCGACTCTTTGTGACCTCATGGGCTGTAGCCTGCCAGACTCCTTTGTCCATAGAATTCCCCAGACAAGAATACTGGAGTGGGTTTAGCCACATCCTTCTCCAGAGGGTCTTCCCGACCCAGGGATTGAACCCGGGTATCTTGCATCGCAGGCAGATTCTTTACCATCTGAGCCACTTGTGGAATGAGAAGGGGCGACAGATGGCAGATGACATGCTCCTTCAGTCCTGTCAAGGAATTTGGATCTTATTCTAAATGAAGTGAGAATCCAATGTCTGGCTTTATTCCATAAGCTTTTGCCAGATGATACAGTATTTTAGGAGGTATAATTTCACACTGTAGCTATTTGAAAGCATAGCTTGAACTGAAGAAGAAAAAACTCATCTGCTTCTGCACCAAAAAAAGGATGAAGAGAAAACTGAAAACCAGTCAGAGTGTGGATTTGCCAACTCAACTAGACTCGTTAGCTTTCTGGAGTTTCATGGACAAGTATGCTGGTATAATTTGTAAAACTTGTAAAATAAATGAATTGTAAATGTATTCAAAGGATGGGGGCTGAGAATTCCCTGGCAATCCAGTGGTTGAGATTCCGCACTTTTGTGCTTCCAATGCAGAGGACATGGGTTAAATCTCTGTTGGGAACTAAGATCCCACATGCTGTAATGCGGCCAAAAAAAAAAATCGTAACAGCATAGGAAAATGACTTTGATCTCAGGGGGTTATTAAGCACTTACTTAGGGAGCAGTTGTAGAAAACTACTTGATACCCAAACAAAAAGCAGTTTTTACCACTTATTCTTTAAATGTTGAGCTGTGAATGAATGACTCAGTGTTTTTAAATAAGTGCCCAAAGTCTGTGGTAACTGAGCTTATCCAAGGTGGTGCAAACAGCGATTTTAACAAAGGAAGGAAGGGAGGAGGAAGGGACACAATGCTTATCATAACTGTGTCTCAAGAATGTTAAGAAACAGGCAACTGTTTCTTAATGTTAAGAAATAGTAAAAAATACTGCTTAGTATTAAAAATAGTGTTTAACTTGTCACTTCTTCTTCTGATGACCTAATTTTTTCAAATCGGGGAAGGGCCAAATCTGAGCTATGTGATGCTCTTCATGGGTCTTCTGATTTCCTCATGGTTTTTATTTTCAGCGTTGGTACCATCCGAGCCGGCCAGGGTTAGAAGAAAGTTCCTAGTCAATATTCGCCTTCTGTGCCCAAATTTCCCTTACAATGTGAGTCTTGGCAAATTTTCAGAACTTAAATCATCATGCTCTAGCATATACAACTTTGCCGAAACAGCTGCACTTTATCTTTGGAGCCCCTGCAGATAGTAAGCCTTCACATAGTAAGCCTGTAAGCACATTAAAAAAAACCACATCATTTTTGTAAAACAAAGTTCTGCTGGGAAAACTTTTCTGTGTAATCTGGAGAAACTCAATCTTAATATACCAGAAAATTCTTTCGATGGTATCTATTTGGACTTTTGATGCATTTCAGAATGTTTCATGGCCCCACCCAGAGTGTGCACCCCTGGGCCAGGCGGGGTTCACAGCTGCCCTCTCCCCTCTTCCCCAGCTGCCCGCAAGGCCTAACAAGGTAACAAGAGTGCCCTCATTGAAATTTTAGACTGGGCTCCAGTCTAGGAGCTTCTGGAGTCTTGGCAAACCAGACAGCAAAAAATTAGCCTTCAGTTCCTGACATGAGAAATTTTAGGAGAAATTGAAATCAGGAACATATGCTTTTTTTTTTTTCAAATCACACTTCATAAAAGTCACAAGTAATCTTTAAATTTAAGGGAAAATGCTTTGGGGGAAGCTTTGGTTTATTTTGGTTACCCCTCTCTATATTCTTGTCTTTGTTATTAATTTTGGAACATGTCTTCTTCCTATCAAAAGTAGTTAAATACAGATTAGACATTTGCTAAGATGAGAGTCAGAGAAGGCAATGGCAACCCACTCCAGACNGAAAATACTGAATATAGTTCCTGTGCTATACAGTAGGTATTTGTTGGTTACCTATTTTATATATAGTAGTGTGAAAGAGAACTTATTTTGTAAAAACAAAGAGTAGAGGGGAAAAAAGAAGAGAGGCCCTCATACACACTCCACTCTTACTCAGGATTCTTTTTAAAGGTAGTTAAGTGCCCAATTTCTACCTTGCGAATGCCATGTTTCTACTCATTAAGACATAGCCACAAGGAAAAGTACAGATCTACTAAACACCTACCTGCTCAACCTGAGAAAAAAGGCCCTAAGGAGGACAAATGTTTTTAGCTTATCCATATTTTCTGGTTTGTCTACAATGAGTTCCTATAACTTACGCAATAATATTGAAAATATTTTGTAAGTGAATAAGGAGAAGGCATCTGTCTTGTCTTCTGAAAATGGTAGGATTCCCTGGGATTAGAGATGTTTCTTGCTCTTGGTTTTGAGAATTGTATTAATTAATTGTAGTTGATCTTCATGGTATAGAATGAGGGTGATCTGATGCCCTAACACTATTTAACATAAAAGAATTACAATTAAAGAATGACAATCAGGGAGTCCTGTATCAGTATATTTTCTTAATACTTTTTATTATTCCAAATTGTAAACATTTAAACTTTTATTTATTTTCTGTTATTATAAAGGGAGTAGAATAGAATCCTTGAGAAAAATACTATCAAAGATGATGAGGATATAGAGAAGACTTTAAAATGAGAGAAACAGGTTTAAAACAGGTCTTTTATTTGAATACTGAATACATTCTATTTGCACAGAGTGTGCTGGGGATGAAGTTTATTAAAGAAAAAAAAAAAAACCACAGGCAGAAATACAATTAAAATGGAAAAAAAATCGAATATAACACAAATGACAAATAGATACAAGAGCATTCCGTGAAGCCCAATTAGGGCATTCCATCATCTGATAAGTTAGTTTATAATTTAAACTTATTCCAGACATGAGTGTTAGGAACCACCATCTATAAAACATGACATAAAAAAAAAATCAAAGAGTACATCACAATTTCATGAAAATATCTTTAATGAAATCAGAATCTAACAATTGGAAAACAGTTAAACTATTTATTTAAAAAAAACAAAAATCCCTCAAACTAGTGTCCTTATTAGAGGCAACAGTGTTTCTAGGGCAGTTTCCAACATCAAATAAGACCACATCGAACATCCCATACTGGAATTTATCTTTTCAATACAAACAGTGGGCTTCTGCCCGTTACAGCAGAATGACTCAGATTTAGTTTTCACTTTCTCTGGATTCTCAAAGCAGCAGTAAGACAAGTCTCAGGATCATCAAGAGGCTGGGTTAAAATAAAAGACAGGCAAGGGGAGGTGACTCAGGAGGTGAGAGAAGGCTCACGTGCCCACCTACGTGTGGTACTAGACCTTGGCTTCCAGGGTGCATCTCTGCTGCTACTGCCTGGGCCAGAGACGCTCTCAGGATCCCTGCACTTGAACTTCCAAGATGTGACTGAACTCGCCACTTAAAAAATGTTCACTAAGTGAAGGAGAAAACTCAGAATTCAATGTTCTGAAAATCTGGGCTGAACTTTCGTAAGAGAAAGGTTAGAAAACACAATTTTCAATAGTTAGTAAAGGCAAGGAGCTTGAAAAACTCATCAAGGGGCAATTTTATGCCATTATTACAATCTCAGCTACTTTCCAAGCTTGGAGTCTTGTCTTTTTAACCTGTAAACCCTACTTTGACTTTCCACCACCAAGTATCATTATTAGAACAGGACTCTCATTAGAAATCAGCCCTGTATAATCACACTTTCGTTCCCAAATTGTAAACACTATATCCAGCCACGCTAGAAAATTCTATTGAAAAGTAGAAAGCAGAAAATTTCTCATTCCATCACCACCTAGAGATTATTAATATGAAGTATTTGAAGAATTTCCTTCCTATCTTGTTTATACACAGACTTTCAAAAAATTGAGATCACACTATATTTGGTTGTTTATTCTGTTTTCATCTCCTATTTTTTCATTGATATTTTCAAACATCACTAAATGGTTTTTGAAAACATGAGATGCAATACTTGCTCAATATTCTACTAAGTGGGCAAAACAATTATTGAACCATTTCCCTACTGGTGAATTTTCAAGCTGTTTCTAATTTTTCAGTTCATCATGTCTTCAACTAGACACAGAGTTGCAATAAACATCAGTCTTTGTATACATCTCATTATTTCTTTAGCATAAATTGTTAAAAGTGAAAACGTACATCAAAGAAGATGAACACATTGACAGCTTTCAACATATAAAGGCAGCTTCCAAGAAGAATTTAAAATGTTATGCACAAATTTTCACTTGGGAATGTGCTTAATCTCATGGAAAGAATTAAGATTAAGAGAAACATGAAGCTCCCTGTTTATCTTTTTAAAAAATATTAAGTTTTCTCCCTTAAAAACTCAAAATAACTGTGAGAGACTATCACTGTCGAACTCTCTAAGAGAGATATCAGATTTAAATGAATACACTTACTGTCTCAGACAGGTAAATCCTGAGAGAAAAATGAGGCTGATTTTAATTCTTTATTCTGAAAAACGGTAATTGTGTACATGTGATCAGATACTACAGCAACACTAAGTGTATTTGATAAAAACATTCCCAGGCACATAAATGTCAGCAATTGAATGGATGATGTTTTAAGGTTTTACAGTCATGCTGACTGTAATAAAAATTACTTTGACCTTTCAAATTAAAACTGACTTTTGCCCAAAATTCAGCACTTCAAAATGACAACAGAGAAAAGAATAGATCAAAATAGGTTTTTCTTACCTTAAACCTGCAACCAGTCCAGCTGGCATGATTTTCTTGGATCTCTTAAATCTCACCCCCATTATGGTGGCCAGGAAGAAAGCTGTAACTAAAAAACAGACCAATGCATTGAACCAGGGCCTCAAACATGTTATCAGTGCTTGCTTGTGAAACAGAGGGATTTGATTTTAGCTTTCTGATATAACAATGATTATGTGTTGGTACTGAGTTGCTATGTTCTTGAAAAGATAAAGTGTTCTGTCAAAATACTTTATAAATTAGCTAATCAACAAGGTTTCTGAGTAAACAAGCATGTTAAAATCCATTACTGAAATATCTTGAAAAGAAAAAGTGTTTTTCTAACTTAAATTTCTATTTATAGAACACTCCTGGGAAGGCCAGGACTGTATCTGTTTCAAGTTTCCTCAGAACACTAGGCAGTATGCCTAGACTCACAGGAGACATCCAACAAATGAAAGGGAAAGAATCAGTTACTAAAGCGAATCTTTAAAGCAAGACTTGATTATTAAAATAATAGTAGGAAAAGGCTGACTTTATTTCGTAGCATTCCATTTTGAAAAAATGAATGCCTGGAGACGAAATATATAACAACAGTCTAGTAATAATACTAAATTCAGAAGCACCATACCAGTCTTGTAGGAGCTGAACCACTATGATCAGAGACTATGTAAGAGATGAGGCCATTGATATCACAATTTAAGAACAACTTTCAAGGCAAAATCACTTGCTAATACACAAATCAACATGACTGGCAGTAACATATATTAACTGTTTAAGTGCATATGAATAAAATGCCCAATATATATATATCTTTTTAAAAAATATTTATCTATTTATTTGGCTGTGCCAGGTCATAATTGCAGCATGTGGGATCTAGTGCCCTGCCCAGAAGTTCAGACCTACACCCCCTGCATTAGAAGGCAAAGTCTTAACCACTGGACAGTCAGGGAAGTCCCAGCCTTGCTTTTCTAGGTTAAATCTTAAGGCAAAGTGGGATCTAAAAGCAGTTTGTGAATTCAATAAAACAATCCAAGACTGTCTTTTTTAGATATTTTCACAGTAATATAAACTATGCTAACATGAATTTAGGAGGGTTAGCAGAAAATTCAGACATAATTCCTCGTTTTTTCTAATTTTATTGTCTCTTCCTAGTAACAAACTTTACAGAAATATTCCTCTGAGGCCTGGCAGCAACATCATTACTTTTGATCAGGTCTGTGTAGAAAGGAACAAGAATAGTCTTCCACCTCCATACAAGCATTTTGCCACCTGCCATCTGACTGGTATTTTCTAGGTCACTTGGGCTGGGTATTAAAAAGCTACCCCCAGGCTTTGATTTTGCATAACCAGGAAAAAAATGCCTTACACAGTGACAGCTTTACATCTCGCTTGTCATTGGAGACACGGTAAGCTCCATAGCCAGCCAAAAACCCAACAAAAAGACCAGCAATCAGAGACAGAACACCACCTGGAGGGGGAAAAAAAAAGTAAGGGTTAGGATAGAAAATCCTCAAATGAAGACATATCTTTATCACTTAATGTGTGATATAAGCAACAAGTGGAAGAAATGTGTTTCTTCTTGGGCACTGTAACTGCACAAGGCCAAATCAGGTGTCAGCTATCCATGGAGAGTTTCTAAGAAATGCCTGTTTCATGCTGAACCCCGAGAACACAGCAATGGGAGGGATGGGTATGGTGATAAAGTCTGCCTTATCGTCGTGCTTCCAATGGCGACTGCATGATCTTAGACAATTATCTAACTTCCTTATGTCCCTCTTTTATTCCCCCTATTCTCTTTGCCTCTATTATTTCACTCTCAGCTTGTGATGATAAAAATAAGATAAATGATGTTTTCAACTCATGGAGGTAGAGAGGGTCCTATGCAAACCAAGCAGTGGTTCTCTCCTGAATAATTAACAAAGCTTCCAGCCTCAACACATAAGGACTCAGGGGTGGATCACGACAATGAGTAACAGGAAAAATCTGGTCACTGATCCCAGCTGCCAACCCATCCCCTTCTGCACCCAGTACCTGCCCAGCATTGCCCCGGGCACTGGGACAGACAGAGAGGTCTTCCTGTGCCCTGGGGAGGGAGCAAGAGGGCACATGCCAGTGATACTGTGACCAACACACACCACCCCCACTTCAGGGCATTCACTCTATTTAGAATCTATCAGATTGTAATCTCTAGGGTCAAGGCACCTCTGGGGTTTTTTTGGGGGGAAAGGGATTTAAATGTATCATTTATTTTTATTGAAGTACAGTTGATTACAGTGTTGTGTTAGTTACTGGTGTACAGCAAAGTGATTCAGTTACAAGGCATCTCTGTTTTTTAAACATCTACAGAAAATTTAGATTGCAGCAGGGTTAAGAACCATTACAGCAATGCACATACACACACACCCATCCAGAAACAGAAGTGACATGCACTAGGTTCTAGCTTAATTCTCCAGGCAACAAGTGGAAGAAGATGCCTTATAACTTATAACTAAAGTAACCCTTTCCTGCCACATCCTGCAGCAACCCCAACACACACACACACACTCGCTCTCCTTTTCCTACACCTCAAAAAATCACTAAAAGAAGTAACCTTCAAAACCATATAGACCTGAAATTCAAGTCCCCCAATGTCACTGATAAAAGTCTTCAAAATATAGCTTCATTTTATGAATTTCTTAAAAAAATAAGAAAGAGAAATGTGGGACACTGTGACTATATAAATGCATCTACCTTAAAACAAAGTAAAATAGAAAACTTGGCCTTTCATCTTTTTCTCCATGAAATCCTTTATTTTATCAACTGGGTGTTTTCTCCACCTTGGGACAGAGATGAAGAGACTAATTCAGATATTATAACTAAGTATTGAACAAATTTTCTGTTGCCACACACAATATCAACGTAATTCAGATTTTTGACACATTTGGGACCCCATGGACTATATAGTCCATGGAATTCTCTAGGCCAGAAAACGAGTGGGTAGCTGTTCCCTTCTCCAGGGTGTCTTCCCAACCCAAGGATCGAACCCAGGTCTCCCACATTGGAGGCGGATTCTTTACCAGCCTGAGCCACAAAGGAAGCCCTTTTGACACTACGAGTATGTTAAAAAAAAAAAACAACTCATCTGATAATAAATGAGTAGCCCTGAGGAGGTTAAGTCAATTAATTATGCAACTGATATTAACAGATGAAGGGAGACCCAGACACCCAGGCTCTGGAATGACAGGCTCTGTTCACCCAGCCCCAGGGAACCCCACCTCCTTCCCCGAATCCTCCCACCAAATGCTGGTCCTCAGCCACCTGAGGACTTCATTAGCTTCCTGTCCTATTTATAGACCCCTCAGATGATCCCAGCACAACCTCCCACCAGGTCGTTTTGAGGAAAAACCTGGTTTGGCTCACCTCTCCGCTTATATCCCAAAATGCTTCCGAATGTCACCAGGGCTGCATAACCAAAACCAATCAGGTCCATTGGCAAGGTTCAAGTCTAAAGCAAGGGGAAGGGACATATTTTACAAGAGAAAAAGAGTCTGGGGGAGCAAATGTATATAAAAATGATGTGCATTCCACAGAATTATATACATTAATTTCTCCAGTCCACTAAGAAAAGGGCAGCTAGATCTTCCCCCTCTCCCAACACTCAGCCGCCACTCACCACTCCCCACCCTCATCACTCTCAAGATCACTCAGGGAGACACCTGAGGATGATTTTCCTTTCCTGTCTGCAAGACTTGTCCTGTCCTCTTAGTTGGGGACGCCTTTCCACCTCCCCAGCAGGACTTCTGCTCTGGTTAGCGCGGTCTCCTAGCGGGGCAGTGACCTTGCCATGTTCACTTTGCACTCCTGTGCCTGGAACTTGCCCCCTTCTCCCTGACCTACATTCTCTGCGCACCATCTTCCGCTGAACCTACTTTCCTTCTCAGCCACACCCCTAACTTCCATAACCACGCCCTTTCCCAACCACACCCCTAACCTCCTTAACCACTCCTTCCCAACCACACCCCTAACCTCCTTAACCACGCCCATCTCAGCCACACCCCCTAACATCCTTAACCACGCCCATCTCAACCACACCCCTAACCTCCTTAACCACTCCTTCTCAGCCACACCCCTAACCTCCTTAGCCACGCCCCTTCTCAGCCACACCCCTAGCCTCCTTAACCATTCCCACCTGCACCGTCCACCAGGTCTAGAGAGTCTGCTCTTCTAACTTCCTTGACCTTAACTCTATCTCTTAATTCTTTCCTTTTTGTACCCGCTCTTTACACCTAAGAACAGGAAAGGGGTAGCAAGGACATGTGCTTGCTGATTCCCTTCCAACGTGCTCTTTGCTTTGTTGTGAGACAGCTCTCCTGTGGTGGCAGAGACACCCACGCTTGGTCCACGGGAAACCATTGAAGGATGCAATGCAAGGCAGCCCTGGCAGAAGTTAACTGAGTGACCGTGAGATCCTGCAGGCCTCACAGCAGCAGCTGAAACACCCACAGGTGAAAAGTTCGAAGAAACTCCACGGAAATCCTGCCTGGAATTCTCCAAGACGTAGGAGAAAGAGTGCTGGCCACAGGCTGGACACACGGCTTCTGGTCACTAGTGGCTGCTGGACCCTGGACCATGCCCCATCCCTAAAAGGCCAACTCCCCCAAAATGAGGGGAATAGACAAGGAAACCCCAAAAGTTGTTTTTTTTTTTTTAATTCTAAGATTCCTGGCGGTGACTGCACATCTTTTTACATCTCTATTTTCTCCCTGGGAAAAATAATTATCTTTGTATACACAAGGAATGGTAGATGAGAATTTTTTGTATTTTCACAATTTTCTCATTGTTTGCCATTTAGGTCAACCTGATCTTTAATTCTCTGTAGCAACTGGTAACAAACTCGCCCAGAAGAATGGAAAAGGAAAGTAAGCTAGCACTTACTGCGAGGAAGGGTCTGGGGTTGGGAGCCCAAGGCACAGGAGGTGATGGCGCTGAAAAGGAGGCAACGATGGAAAATTCTCAGTGTCTGTGGGATGAAGAATTAAAACAGGATGGTTGTTGATGCCCAAGAAGTGGTCCAGTGGGGCTGAATATAGAAGAAGGAAGGACCTGTGTTCCAAAACCATGGATAAATCATAATGAGGATGTTGTTTCTGAGCAGTTACCATGTGCCAGGCACCACTATAAGGCCTTATATGTATCAACTCATTTAATTATCACCACGAACCTAGGAGGTAAGTACTATCATTATCCACTTTGCAGATGAGGCGACTAAAGCACAGAAAAGGCAAGCAGCAGCCCCGAGGTCACACAGCAGAACCAAGATAGCAGACTCAGAGAAGTTTCATTCCTAATCAGTAGTACTTCCAAAAACTAAGTTAGTTGCCAAAAGAGTGAACATGCAAGTGACACTGAAGTTCCTGAAAGTTTTGAATTCTGCGTTAAGCACTTCTTGGCCTCGTAGCTTAGCCCACACTGCACTGTCTTACACCTGGAGACCTATCACCCTCAGCCCTGTGAGCACCTCACGTCCAGTCCTACTTCCTGTCTTTTTCAAGGAGCCCATCACATTCCACAGGGTATGCTTGTCTTCACCAACATGTAATGTTAGGCAGGTTGCTTAATCTCTCTGTATCTTAAGTTTCTCCATCTATAAAACAGGGATAATAAACATGCCTACCTCACAGAGTTGCTATGGTGATGAAATGAGTTACCGCTGTAACGCACTCAGAACACATGCCTGGCACACACTGAACACCCAACAAATATTAGCTGCTCAAATGATGATCCTCCCTTTCACTCTTCACCCATTTTTATGCTTGACGTGAACAAGGGCAATACTATTTCAGCACAGTAAGAAATCAACTGAGGCAGGGTGGATTTAAGATGCAGGCGTTCATAGACTCAAGCCATAACAGTACTGATATAACTTGCACATATACTCAGTTACATCAACAACGATTTCTTGGGTGTCTTCTATGTGCCGGCAGCAGGAAGAGACGGAAAGCCCCATTGATGGACACGGCCCTGATCTTCCGGGACTTCCAGTGTGGCACCAGGGAGGCGGCAGCTGCATGAGGGAGCCCTTAGAGGACAGGAACAAGCCCTATAACCAGGAGCTTCACCCTCCCAGCCTGGGAGCCTAAGCTTCATTCTGTGAGGAAGCAGGGGCCCAGCGGGGGCCTTGAGGAGGGCAGGAGAAAGCAAGGAAGGAGGCTGGCAAGGAGGGGGGTGTCCTAGGCAGAAGGGAGACATCTACGAAAGCCTAGTGGCATGAGACAGCATGGCATGGTTTTAAAACGGAGAGCAGTGCAAGGGGTGTGAAAAGAGGGGGTGCAGGTGAGCAAGGGCCAGACGACTCCTGAAAGCCCTATAAAGGGAGTCTGGTAAAGATAGGCTGGGAGTCGGAAGCAGTAAGCCAAGCAAGAGATGATGGTGGTCTGGCCTGGAGAAATGAAAGTGGATGAAGTGGACAGGTCAGGTGGTTGAATCAACAAACCCAGGGTGTGTGTGTGGGGGGTGGGGGTTGTCAGGGAAGGGATGAGTCTCTGGCTTGGGCCACTAGTGAGGAGAAGAGCCTTGCTATTGTTTCCTGAGACAGGGAAACATATTCAGTCTAAGATGATCAACACACAGGAAACACCCTTACATACAGAGGTGAAGTTATGAGAGAAATCACTTATCATCAGGTGGTAACAGGAACCTAATTTTTTCCTTAAGTCAATCACCCGCTGTGGAAGGCTGTTTCCTTTTCCCTCTTCTGAGCCCCCACCCCCACCCCAGTTTTTCCTCTGACGCTCTCTTGGGGCCCTGATGCAGAGTCACTTCGGTTGACCTTCTCTCTCCTCCGCACCAGTCAAGCTCCTTCAAGACTAAACTCAGGAATAACTTCTGCCTTAAGATACTCTGTAACTGACCTACCCTCGCATAGCTCTATTGCCAGGAAAAATCGCTTCATCTCCTTAGTGAACTGAGTGTTGTTCCAAGGAGGCAAAAGAAATCTATTTTCAGCTCTTGTAAGGGTTTACAGCGAAAATCCAAGCAAAAGGCAATTCGCCCTGTCGCTCCTTTTCCGTTGCAGGACCGTTTGATTTGCTCAGAATTACACAAGAAAGCCAGAGGCTGCGTTAACAAGGCGGGGACGGGAATGAGGATGGTGTGCGCGACGCATCACGTGCTCCCATCGCAAATGCAATGCCCAGCCCTTGGAAAAAGCCAGAAAGCATCTTGGGTGCAATGCAGCAAAATGATTTACTGCACAGCGGACAAAACTAGGTGATAGGGCCCTGGCTTGTCCCTAGCCCTCAAAAATTTGGAGAACCCACTAAGAGATCTCCCTAAGCTATTATATAAAAACCATTTGCTATGCTAAGTATCAATAATTACCTACCTTTGAACTCCTTGGGGGCTCGAAAGACTTTCCAGTGAAGTCTGGATGGTGCTGGGAAGGTTTGAAACCTTACCAAGCATTTCTGCGTTGATCCAAGGGCCCCACCCCCTTCTCCATCTCTCCCTAGCTCCGGGAAGGGAGGAGGGAGGACAGGTAGGAGATTCAGGACCTCGGAAGGAAGAAATTCGGGGACTTCCCAGAAAAAAGAGAAGCGATACCCGGAAGAGGAGACTCCACCCCCTGCAAAATCTTCCCAAGTTTCTCGGCATCGTTATCTGCCTATTTCTGCACCTTTGCATGAAAATTACGGGCAGAAAGATCTCGAGGTACAGCTAGATGTACAGCTCACCTGCAGCCTCAAGCTCTCCCCGCGGGTGAAAAGAAAAAAGTTGGGACCAGCTACAGGAAAACTTCGTACCTGGAACCGAGAAGCTAAGCTCACCGCCAGCGCCTTCCCACTGAGAGCTCACCTCCCAGCACTGGGCGGGGCTGCTGGTTCCAGGAAGCACCGGCCCCGCCCCCTCACGCGCATGCGCTGCATCCCTTAACTCTTCACTACATCGCACCATCTACGACGTTATCTAGATGTGGTGCGGAGACCGGCATCCTGGTAAAACCCAGGATTTGCCGGCCTTAAGTACCTGAAGGGACCAGGTACAGAGTGCCAGAACTGAAAGGCACTAAATCATGTCTAATTCCAGAATAACGCATTCCCAGGGATAAACCTGTGAGTCCTGCCTCCACGCTACAACTTCTCACCTCACTCCAGTTTTGCCTTCCAGGCCACTGCCAGTAACTCCCACCCTCTTCCTTATATAATAGCTCTTCAGATTGAAGAAGGCTCTCATCTAGGCTGTCGCTCTGTCGTGTCCGACTCTTTTCGACCCTATAGACTGTAGCCAGCCAGCCTCCTCTGTACGTGGAATTCTCCAGGCCAGAATACTGGAGTGGGTTGCCCTTCCCGTCTCCAGGGGATCTTCCCAACCCAGGGATCGAACCCAGGTCACCCGCATTGCAGGCAGATTCTTTACCGTCGGAGCCACCAGGGAAGCGTCATCTAGGGTTCATCAAGCAGCTATAGGGATGCTGCGGGACTGGGAATAATAGGATTTCTTTAAAAAAAAAAAAAAGAAAACTAAGAATATAAATTAAACCTTGTGATATTTGTTTGTTGAATCTACTCCTTGTGTTTAAAAGTGCTTCAAGGAAGCAGTGTGACTATATCTAAAGTCTGAGAAGTCTTAAGGTGGGCTGAGGGAGTTAACAGGGTTCTGGGAGAGGCATAGGAGAGTTGATGGCAGGCGCTGAAATGTGAATGGAGAAAGTGGTATCCTGGAGTTTGGTGCTGAGTTCTTCCAGCTCTCCTCATCCCCTTCTATGCCCATCCTTAGCCCAGTGCACGCTGGAACCCTTGTGCGTGTGTTCTCCCACACATGTGCACACCCACGTGTGTGTGTCTCTTTTCCTTCCTCCCTCCTTCCCTTTTTCTCCCTCCCAAGACTCCCAGGACACTTCCTCTATCCAGAATAAAACCAAAAACTTTGGGATACCTCAGTTATCTTTAACTAATATGATCCCCCTCCTCAAGTAAATAACTTATCCCTGAACCCCAGAGCCTGGATTTATGATGCTGAGATCCCTGGCAGCCCTGTCACTGAGGTCTTAGAGGCTGAAAGCATGAGCATTCCTACTCAAGGTATTTTCATCTAAAAAAGCAACATGAACAACATGTGGGAACAGGAAGGTTCTTGGGCAAAGGGGCCACGGTCCTCTCAACTTACATGCCACCAAATGCCACCTACTCCTTCTAATGGGAAGATTAGAGCCCAAGGTGAGGGTGCAGCAAAATCTATTCACCTCTGCCTTTTTTGTAAAGCTGTTTGCTCATTATCCACTTCCAATGTGCCACCACTCCTGCAGAAACGTACAAGATAAAATACACAGGATTGCCAGGGAAGCCAGTTTTATTGAAATAAAGTTATCCAAAGAAGGAAAGTTATTAAAGTAGTAAACATTTAAATCTGTGCCAAAGATGTGCTTCATTATTAAATCATGGGATCTAGGAGTGGGTATAATAATTACTGTAACTTCCAAGTAGTGGTGCATATAACAATACTTTGAGGTATCTGTAACATGTGAGTATCTGTGATTCGTGGGGATGACACAGTCACAGGTACCAGTACTACTTGGTTTGCTGCCTATTTTCCTAATGGAAACAAATGTTAAATTTCAGTCAGAGGCTGGTGAACACAGAAACTTCTTTTTCCCATCCAGGTTCTCCAATTCCTGATTTCTATCCTCAGGCCCCTTTGGATTTGCAGAACTCCCGGTCCCCAGTAATGCAGGGTTTCCTAAGTTGATTTGATGGATGTGAAGGAAAAGAAGGGCAAGGCTGAGAGCCCGACTGACTTGCAGATGGGCTGCTCAGGCAGGACCTCCAAGGACGTTTGCACATCAGTAAATGCTCTGTGATCCTGAACCTGGTCCTCATTTTCAAATGTGCAGAAACTCAGTTTGTATCCTTTCTTCCAGGGGCATCCTGGCTTTGGGAGATTGATTCATAGAAACCAACATCACAAGGGACTAGTTGATTTTTAAACAAAGAACAAACCCTCTGTCAGGTCCTTGATTCTTTTCTTCTTCCAGATCCCACGTGGTTACTTATCATTTAGGCCTCTCTCTGCTCATCAGTCAAACAAATTTTGAACAAGCATCTCAATACATGTGTATCATTTATCTCTAAAGTAGACACATTGTGGATACTTTAAATAAGATACATAAAGTAAAACTTTAAAAGGAAACTATGAATAAGATTAAACAGGTATTTCCCATATTTAAAAGATGACATATTTCTGTCCCAAGATACGGTAGAATATTTTCATTCTTTCTGTCTTCTTTTCCAATAATACTTTTCTGAGTTGCTTGCAGCCTTTAGAACATCCTTTTCTTTGATGCAGTGGTAAAACTGCATACAATACAGTCAAAAGTCATCAAATTCACTCTGACCTGCAGCTCTGTTCTCATGCTCACCACACTGAGGCTCAGGCCAATGTGATGATATTAAGCTATCCACTCAACACAAACATTTGAACATGGAATACTTGGAATTTTACTTATTAGTAATAACAAGTTTTTAGATTTGTAGGGATTCATTTCCATTTCTCCAAAAACATCCACCCACTTTGTTTCCACAGCCTTGTTGTGACAGCCCAGCTGCTGACATCTGTAAATTCATCATATAACCACAGGATATTCTGGTCACTGCCTCTGAATCAGGAAAAGTGACTGTACTCAATTTCATAAAATAATCAAGGCACCCAAAGGACAAGGCATGTCTGTTCATGTGGGACACCCACGCTAATTCAGCAGCTGCTGCTGATACTTCTGACTGAAGGCTGATTTCATTTCCCCAAAAGACAACACTTTTGGTTTGTTTGGAGGCACTCACCTCTCATTCTGAACTTGCCAGATTCAAGCTCCAAATGTGCTTTCACATTCGCTTCTCCACTACGCCCAATCCCAAAATCTTTCCCACACACTGCACAGGATGCTCTGTGTGGATTATATACCACCACCCACCCCTTTCAATCCAACCGTATGTGTCCTTCCATTTGTTGTTAACATAAGAAAGTGAAGTCGCTCATTCGTGTCCGACTTTTTGCCACCCCATGAACTGTAGTCTACCAGGCTTCTCCGTCCATGGGATTTTCCAGGCAAGAATACTGGAGTGGGTTGCCAATTCCTTCTCCAGGAGATCTTCCCGACCCAGGGATTGAACCCGGGTCTCCCGCATTGAAGGCACTCTTTACCTACCGTCTGAGCCAGCAGGGAGGTTAACATAACACAGTTGTTTAGCCTTTTTTTTGGTGATGGGATCATGCTTGCCTTGGTAGTATAATTGTTCTCATTTTCATTATCTGACCTCTTAGAAAACATGGTCACAATACTCAGTGTTATTTAAAAAAAAAAAGGTTTAAAACTAGCACTCTCCTGATACAAAACATGACAGTTAATACACAGGCTGGGTGTCCCAGCTTATGCCACCAATGAACAATTTTCTGAAAAGGTCGGGTGAGACACATGGCCACAAGAAGTCTTACAAAGAAGTCATGAGCTTTGAATGCCTTACTAGAAATCCATGAGCTAAGGAAGGGCTGGGTACCCCAAAGTTTTCACTGCAAGGATTACAAATAAAGCCACAATTCGCAGCAAAAGTCCATTCTCACTCACCCTGAGGATGAAAGATTCCATCTTGGAAAGACAGTTAACAAAGCTGCACCACCTCCTTACTGAGATCTCAGCTCCACCGAGGCCCTAACAAAACTCAAGACCGCAGCCCCTTCAGGCTGGGAGGGGAAAGAAAGGGCAACCTGGCCGGGGGAGCGGTCACAACTGGAAGACACCCTCTTATCAAAGTGCTACCGTCTATCCCTGTCTTCCTCTGTGCTCAGATGTCACGGTCAGGAAACGTGGCCTTCCTGGGGCAGAGGCTGCGGTGACACAGTGAGTCCGTTCCCAGCTGGAGGGGAGAACGTGCCGGGGGGATGGAGGTCTTGGCTGGGGTACGGCAGGACTTGGCTCAGCCCCAATCCGAGCGCACACTTGACGCCCGGACTCCTATCCTCTAGGCCAGGAGGCTTGGGGACGATGCCCAAGGCCACCCAGGGACTCCCGAGTTTCCCAGCCCCTACCCGCGCCCTGCTCGCTCTTGGAAGGTTCTCCGGCGGCCCCGTGCCTGTTCTCGGGTGGGCGCATCGTCTCCATCGGCTGCTCGCCCTGACCTGCTTCTGACCCCGATAGCAGATCCAGCTGTACCCTCCCGGCGATGACGCCGCGGAGCCCGTTCGTGGGCACCGGACACAGCCCAGATCATAGTCGGAACCACCTACTTTCGTCGTGAGCGACCAGCAGACCGCTTATATGGCCGAGGTGGGCGGGCCCATATCGCCTAACTCGCATGCTCATTGGTTGAACCCATCCGACACTTAGTCGTGCGCCGGCGTCCCATTGGTTCTAACGGCGCGCTCTATAAATCCGGGGAAGTTCGGCGTCTGAGGAAGTTGAGTGGTCGACGCGCGTCAGAGGCTTCTTGGGTCGCGTTGGAGGGTTCCCGAGGCCTGTGAAGCCGGCGGAGGTCGCCTCTGTCGGCCGACGCCTCAACCTTCGCCCTGGGCGTCAGCCTCAGGCTTCACGGAAGTGGAAGCGAGCCAAGAGTAAGACAAAAACCAGTACAAATAAATCCCCAAGTCACAACAGGTACAGTCGAATTCAAGGAAAGCAAAAGTAAATGAGAAAAGTATAATTAAGCTAGTCATTTTTTTTTTCCTGCGTAGGCAAAGTAAACAGCTGAGTTTCAAGACATTGACTTCTAGAAAAGATAAAACGGGAATCTAGCTTCAATTTTAGGGTATTTATACCAATTTCTATTTAGAACTTGATCAGCAAAAGTTCACGGTCAAAGAATCGAGCGTTTTTTATTTGGTTGCCTTTCCTACGAACGGCGGCAGGGGGCACTAGATGCTCTCGTTTCGTTCAGGTAGCCGGGACTTTTAAAACCTTTTGATAGACTTAGGAACGGCCTGACACCAAATAATTTGCTCTTAGAAAACAGATCGGTGGTCTGCGTAAAAGAAAGTACTGAAAAAGTAATGCTTTCTGCAGTACGGCCTGTAGACTAAGGAGTACAGGTTTCTGAAATATTGTGGCGAGGGGAAAGGTCAGTTCCAGGATATAAGGGGGAATTTTTAGGTGGGCTCTGAAAGAGGCAGGCAGTGGAGAATGAGCAGGGAACCTCTGACTCCTTTACCTGAGTCTGCCATCTAGACTCACTTTTAACTTTTGCCGAAAACCGGGGACTTTCCGTTCTAAAACCAGGACTGAGAGGTTTCCTGGAATTTTTGACATAACTATAAACAATAATGATAACAACTAACATTTAATGAGTCTAGTGGGCTTCTAAGCATTTAGTCCTCTCAGTAACCGTCTGAGATAGATAATGGGTCATCCCCATTTTACAGAAGAGGAAACTGAGGCAACTTGCCAAAGGTCATGCTGACAGTTGAGAAGTGTCAGATCCAGGTTAAAGAAGAGTGTGTATACTGGCTCTGCAGTTGTTGGGCCTGGCTCCAGTCATGGCTCCACTGCATATTTTATTAATACAGGAAAGCACATAACATTTTGACTGGTACGGAGGAAATACTCAATAGTGTTTGCTATTATTATTTAAAGCGTGGTCCTTGCTCTCCAAGACTTTAAAATCAATGGCCCTTATGACTCATAAGTAGAGATGTCTCTAATGGGTGAATGGGACAGAGACTAGATGCATGAAAGTGAGTGAAGGAGGAAACAGCTGGGAAACAAGAGTGGTCAGGTCTGGCTCACAGATCACTGAATGCTTAAATGAGTAGCCTACATATCATCATTAGAAAGTGGTCTCAGATCCTGAATGGCTTGAGCTGATCACTGTAGTCTCTATATTTAGGTATCATGTGGGCGTGCATGTTTAATTAAAAATGTAGTCAGGGCTTTCCTGGAGGTTCAGTGGTTAAGACTCTCTGCTCCCAAGGCAAGGGACAGGGGTTCGATCTCTGGTCAGCGAACTAAGATCCTGAATGCCACATGGTGAGGCCAAAAGAAAAATGTAGTCAGTTTTTATTAGTCACTGAAATTGTCCTAATAAATGTTAAGCTATCTACTCATCTAGCTGGAGGAGGCATTTATTAATTTTTTGGAGAAAGCATTTATTAATTTCATGAATAATTATCTGTTAGATGTTATATGGTCAGGCCATTCAAGATGGCTGTTCTCGCACTCTGCGTACATCCCTTGCTCCACCAGCCCCTGCTTCACTCACATAAATACTCAGTCCGCTTAGTTATAGGACTTAATTAGTCCCTGGTAACTGACATTAATTCTCCCTGTAAATGGTAGCCTCCTTCTCCCCTGAATAGCAAAGGATGTTGCCATGTCCTGTCCACACATTGTGTTGAGTTGTTGTTTCAGGACCCTTTGTAGGATTCCCCCTTCCAATAAACCACCCATGTCTCTGTCGCTGTCTCCAGGCTGTTTCTTTGGTCTTGAGGCTGGACAACTCCAAGGCTTGCAGACCTGTGGGATGCCCCCCAACAGATGTCAAGCCCTGGAATAAGAGTCTGAGACTAGGACTCAGAGTTAGAGACTGACTCTGGAGCGAGGGGAGTGGGAAGGGATATTGTAATTGAAACCTGAAGTCTGAGAGGGAGCCAGCAGCACGGAGTCAGGGGGCCCTCATTGCAGGCAGCAGGAATGGCCTGAGCAAAGGCCCTTGCAGGGGGCTGGATGGGAAGGGTTCCTTGCCTGGTGAGAACCAAAGGAGGGTGGGGCTAGAGAACTGTGAATTAGAGGCAGAGTAAATTGGTGCAGCAACAAGCTGTGTTCATAAAGAGCTGGGCTGAGTAGGGGTTTCCTGCCTCTGAGTCTTTTATTTAAATCGTCTTGACTGGGCAGCCTCCAGGTGTTGCTGAAGGGAAGTTTCCATCAAGGGGTGAGAGGTAACCGTGTGCATTGCTTTGTTTCCATTTGTTGTCCTTAACTGAGTCGAAGGCTTTGCATCTGTGTGTGCTTAAATCCAGAAGTGCCTCTGTTTCAGAGGTCATGACTCCTGACCTTCTGTCCTGATTAGCAGGTAAATGGATTGAATGGTAAAATGGATTTACATTCATTCCCTAGCATCTCTGTCTAACTTCATCTTTCCCTGAAGATTTCTTGGAATAAAAAAAAAAAACAAATATTAAAGATAGCTCATTTTTCCTATTCTTTGGGTCTCCATGGAGCCAATTCTGTACTAGTAGTGTAAAAATCAAACAGATGTGAGAAAGAGGACTTGATGTACAGACTTAATTTGTGTTTCTTCTTCAGATCTCTTTGAGCAAGCAATCCTTAATGCAATAAAAATGGCATCTTTGAGGAAAAGCAGATTATCTTATCCGATAAGGCTGCCTTTTCTCATTACTTTAATGTTCCTCTGATCATGCATTTTAAACAGTGTTTTTAATTTAAAAGAAAAAGTCCCAAGAGAAGACTTAGGTCGAAAAAGAGGGCATGATAACATTTGGAAACATGCAATGGAGAAACATTCTGAAAATCCACTCATCAGTGTAGTAGGACTCACTGCAAAGGTGAAATTGGGTCCAAACTTAAAGAAAGGAAAGTTTCAGCCTCTTTCTCTCCTTTCATCTTATACTTCATACCAATTATTAGAGCAAGTTTAAGTGGTATCTCTAACAAATGTCATGGGAAAAGGGAAGTGAATATTAGTTTCTGATATTCCAACCAGGTGTGGATGGAGAGTTAATTTTAAAACAGCCACACACCTGTAATACCTGGGGAGGCCCTGAAACTTCTATCAGCGTTTATATAACTCATTTCTCAGGCTGGATTTAATAAAGATCATTGGGATAAAGATGGATAGGAAGAAATTGAACTATTTATAAAATATTTTTTTGTCAGTTAATACAATTAGTAAAGTGGTTAATAATGCTGGCATGGAGGCTGGAGCTTTCAGTTAGGGAAAACTCAATGCTAGGAGCCTGCGAGATGAGTAAGAAACAGTCAGGGCTTCTCCCTCAAATTGTCTGGGGCTGTGCCCAAAATGTAATAGGATGCTTCTGCCATTCCCTTTTGCAAAGAGGCCTCTAACAGAACTTTAGGAAAACTGTTTGTTTGTCTTTTCTCATTCTTCTTAGATTATCTCCTTAGAGGCTTCTGAAATGCTCAATTCAGTGGTCCCCAAATTTGCTGCCCACTGGAATCACCTGGCCATCTTTTAAAACTACTGATGCCTGGCTCCCATCTCTCAGTATTGTAATTTACCAGGTATGGACTGCAACCCAGGCATGGGGAGTGGTTTTGTTAACCTCTTTATATATATAGGCTTACAGATGATTGTAAGAAATAATACAGAGAGAGTCCATATACTGTTTACCCAGTACCCCCTGCATGGTAACACCTTCCAAAATGGTACTACAATATCACAGCCACATTATTGACATTGATACATGCAAGATCCAGAACATTTCCATCATCACCAGGATCCTTCCCTCTTGTTGGGCTTTTATAACCACAGCTACCTCCCTGCCTGCTCCAACCCCATCCTTTTTTATTGCTTTTTAAAGTAAAACAATTTTAATCTCACAGTACAGCACCTTGAAAAGTACAGGAGTACATTATAACGGCTGGCACACAGGGGCTGGCATCAAGTGAGCAGGCAAGAAGAGTTACTGACTAGAGGAGGAAGGGGAGGTGGGAGATGGTAGAGCTGAAGGGTCATCAGCAATAGGAACGGAGGGCAAGCTGCAGTTTCACTCATGCCTGACGTCCAACCCCATCCTTAACCTCTTGGCAACCATTAATCTATTCTCTATTTCAATAATTGGTCATCTTAAGAATATAAGTGTAATCATGCAATGTGTAATCTTTGGGAACTAGCTTTTTTCATGCACCATAATTCTCTGGATATTCATCCAGGCTGTGGCAGGTGTCAATATTTAGTTTGTACCACAATTTGTTTTACCATCTGGAGTGTTACCAGATTTTGACTATTAGGAATGAACTCCTTTAAACATTGATGTACATATTTTTGTGTAAACATACATTGTCATTTCTCTGGAATAAATGTCCAGCAGTGGAATTGTTGAGTTGTATGGTTAGTGCATGTTTAGTTTTTGAAGAAAATGCTGAACTATTTTCCAGAGGGGCTGTACCATTTTTTGCATTCATAAAAATGCAAAAAATCACACACAGCAATGTGTGAATGATTCGGTTTCTCTGCATCCTCGCCAGCATTTGGCATTGTCAGTCTCTTCTATTTTAGTGTGGTGATAGCACATTGTGGTTTTAACTTGCATTTTCCTAATGGCTAAGTAAACACCTTTTATTTCGCCTTTCATTGCTTTCCTTTTCTCCTCTGCTTTTTGCTTCTCTTCTTTCCACAGCTATTTGTAAGGCCTCCTCAGACAGCCATTTTGCTTTTTTGCATTTCTTTTTCTTCTTGGGGATGGTCTTGCTCCCTGTCTCCTGTACAATGTCACAAACCTTCATCCATAGTTCATCAGACACTCTGTCTATCAGATCTAGTCCCTTAAATCTATTTCTCACTTCCACTGTATAATCAAAAGGGATTTGATTTAGGTCATACCTGAATGGTCTAGTGGTTTTCCCTACTTTCTTCAATTTAAGTCTGAATTTNGAGCTGACTTATTTGAAAAGACCCTGATGCTGGGAAAGATTGAAGGCAGGAGGAGAAGGGGACGACAGAGGATGAGATGGTTGGATGCCATCACCGACTCACTGGACATGAGTTTGAGTAAACTCCAGGAGTTGGTGAAGGACATGGAGGCCTGGTGTGCTGCAGTCCATGGGGTCGCAAAGAGTCAGACATGACTGAGTGACTGAACTGAACTGAACTTCATGTGCTTATTTGCCATCATTTGGTGAAATGCCTATTCATGTCTCTGCCCATTTTCTAGTTGAATGACTTATTTTTTTACTTTTGAGTTTGAGGGTTCTCTATATATTCTGGATACTAGTTCTTTGTCACATTTGTGGTTTGCAAATGTTTTCTCCCATGTGAGATTTGTCTTTTCATACTTCTGATAGAGTTTTTCCATATAGAGCAAAAGTTTAATTTTGATGCAGTCCAGTATATCATTTTTTCATGGATTATGCTAGATATTACTCAAGGACTGTTTAGCATTATCCACTAAACACATTGCATCAAAGAATGCTGAGTCCCTCACTGCAAAAAGCTTTCATGTTAAAACTTTCCATCTAGATGAAGATGTTTCCCTTCCTTTTCTTGTTTAGGTGTGTTGACTTTTAAAGGATGTTTGTGGTTTCAGAGAAACCCCAGGACACACAGAAACTTGAAATTTCCAAGGATGTGAACTGCAAGACAACCATTGCGTATCAGATCTTGTCCTTGACATTATGGACAAGCTTCTTTCAAAGAAAGCTCTTTACCCATGAGGATAAGGGAGTCGATAGATATAAGAGGCATCTCTGGATTGTCACACACAGGCCATACAACCTCACCAAATAAATAGTTCTTTGTATAAAGAAAAAAAGAACTGTTGTCATGTTGAGAAGAGGACAGGAAAAGGCTCAGATGTCCCAAACGGAATTACAACTCATTCATTTGAATGGAATATTTGAAAAATAAAATAGGGGGATTTAAGCACAGTCCTTGGGGATTATAAATTATGGGCAGTGTGTTCCTTATTTAGAATGTTTCGGGAGGAACAACTTTTGTAAAGTCAGAGTCACGAGTTTCCAGTTACTAGAGATTTTCAAGCAGGCCCTGGGCCACCACATGGCAGGGGGTATTAGAGAGATGAGTCAGGCAGTAGAACGGTATACGAGGTGAACTCTGAGAGCCTGTGCAGTCCTGCTGTCTCTGGCAACATCTCCTTTCTCCAAGGGAAGATACAGAATTATCCTGGAAAGGAAGAGTATAGGCAGGACTGAGCCCAAGAAATTTAGGCAAAGCACTAGGAAGAAGCCAGATAACTTGAAGAGAGCCTTCTCTAGATTAAGTTAGATTTATGGAGCTAGAAAAGACTTTGGGGGGTGTCTGTCTTGCTCTTGATAAAGAAATGGAAAAACTGTATTAGTCAGATAGGCTAGACTGTGATACGTTAATAAATTATGAAATCTCACTGGCTTAACAGGAGAAAAGTTGACTGTTCCCTTGTGCAAACTCCTTTACAGATGTTTCTGATCAGGCATTCTCCTCCAAGTGATGACTGAGTGATACAGGTTCCTTCCATCTTGTTTCATGTCCCTTCAACACATGGCCTGAAAAGTCCATGGGAAAGGGGAAGATAATTCAGGAAAGGTACCTGGATACTTTAGACATCCAAGTCCTGAGTATTTCATGAATCACTTCCACTCAGATCCTTTAGGCAGAATGGATCCTGCAGCCAACCCAATTGCAAAGGAGGATGGGAAACAGAGAGCCACACAGATATTGGTCACACACCTGTAGTTTTTTCCCACAAGAAGCCAAGATGCAGAGGGATGCCATGATTTTATTATGTTCATTGTGTTAATGTTGTCAGAACTAAGATCAGATTCTTGATACGATGATTTATCAGGTTAAGTGTAGTATATGATGAAGACTTCCATGGCTGGATTCTGGGCATCCCACTTGGCAGCTAGAACCTCAACAAAACTTTTATAGTTCCTCATGCCCACTAGACCTTATATCTTTGCTCCTGAAGCCCCTTACTAAGGTGTGAATACCTTCTGCTTCTTTACCTACCTTCTCTGCCTACTTATTCTTTAAGACTTAAGCATCTCTGCTTCCAGGAAGGTGATCCTAATCTCCGAATGGCCTCCTCTCCAGATTGAGTTAGGTGTCCTATGCATCCACGTTATCCTGTCCTAACATCAACCCTGAATATTTACTGGAAGGATTGGTGCTGAAGCTGAAGCACCAATACTGTGGCCACCTGATGTGAAGAGCCGACTCATTGGAAAAGACCCTGATGTTGGGAAAGATTGAGGGCAGGAGAAGAAGGGGACGACAGAGGATGAGATTGTTGGATGGCAGCACCAACTCAATGGACATGAATTTGAGCAAACTCCAGGAGATAGTGAACGACAGGGAAGCCCAGCGTGCTGCAGTTCATGGGGTTGCAAAGAGTCAGACATGACTTAGTGACTGAACAAAAACAAACAAAAAAATCATACATGGTAAAGGTTATGTCATTATCCATTTTTTTATTCTATTTCCAATCCTAGATTGTGAGCTTCTTTTAGGCAAGTGACATTATTGAAATTATTTATTTATTTATTTATTTTTTATCCAAAACATGTTTATGGGATGGTTTCCCGTTCATCTTGATACAGGGTACTTTTAGTGCTGCTTCTGTCTGAAAGAGCATCCTTCTGTAAGCCTTGCTTTTCCTCCTGCAGGCTGGCAGAGGACAGTAGAGCTGCCAGCACACAAAACTACTGTTTGTGCATGGCTAAAGACGGTGGTGATTTTGTAGCATCCTGGACATTTTACATCCATGAAATAGGAACTGGGGCTCTGCACCAGGCGCTTCTTCTTGCGTTTCCACTTCTCTTCTGGAGAGGGATGAAGAAGATCCTTTTCGAGAGGCATGTTCTCGTGAGGAGGTCGTCACCGCCGGAAAGGAAAATTTTTTTACATTGTAATAATTAAAATATTTTGACATACAGCAAATCTGACTTTTTATATAAAGTTTATGAAGTTTGACAATTGTATATATTTTTTGAGTTAAGATATTCCTGGTTCTTGATATGCTGAATAATTTGAATAATGGTATCCTGGACATTTTGAAATGATATTATGAGACTCTTGAGCCTTGTTTGAATCCTGTAAAATGTTGCCATTTCTGTTTTAGCAGGCAATCAACTTAGCTGATTTCAATCTGCAAGATCTGGCCAACTTGCTGTGTATGGTGTTTTCAATATTGGTTCTGTTTTCAAAGCCTTTGCCGCGCTCTTCTGAGCCGGTGTGTACGCCGCCTAGTGGCCAATCTGACCATGGGCGGTGATCTCACCCGTGGTGGGTTTCTCAGTCCCTCACTGGACTCTTCAGGGTCAGATTCACACACACGCAGCTAGAGAGTAAGGCCAGACTCTTAAACAACTTGAGCAGCGCCTCATCGGCCTCCTCTCTGATACCTTCTGAGGTCTCCCTGGTGCGCGCTGGTTCCCTGGAGTGTCCCTTGTCTGCCGTGTGTTTCCCATGACTGCACCCATGTCCGGAGCTGTTGGGGTCGCTCGGTGCAAGTGAGCTAGAACCCCACCCCCAGTGGTTTTGTTTTGTTTTGTTTTGGATATTAAGATCAATGATACCACACATGTGGCTAGATGCAACTAGGAGGCATGAAAAGGGTTATTACATTCTGAAGAGAGCAGGGAGAGCTCTCAGGCTTGTCTGAAAATTGCTTGGTGTTTGTGATGCTGGGGTGTGATGCTGGGGTGAGTTCTTGGGAGCTGGAGCTCCATAGTGTGAACTGCCTGCTAGTTACAAAGGAGTATCTTAGCTTTCTATCAGTTTTGCCCAGATGTGGGGCAGAAAGGGAAGGGGGTGTAGTGAGGTGTGAGAGCTATGACCATTCAGACTTCAAAAAAAGAATCAGATCCATCATTGTAAGCACCAGAAGATAGAAAAAAAAGTAATAGGATTTGTGCTATTCTCTTGGGCCACTTCTTCCAATCAGAGAGCAGGATTCCTCTCCCTCAGAGTTTTTAGGTGCCTGTGGGCTGTTGAAGGCTGGATCATGTGAGAGATGACGGAAAAGCAAAGGAAGGAAGAAGAAAAGTGGGGAATTTTCTCTGTTTTCTCGGAATGTCAGGAAACCCTCTGCCGTTCCTCATGTCAGAGTTTAAAAAGCATCCCCTGGAGCCTTCATTTTGCATCCTTGCCAAGGCTCACCTCCAGGTCTGAGGCGTCCCTGAGACCAGGCCAGGGCATATCAGTGGGAATAAAAGTGTCAGGTTCACCACCTATTCAGTGGTATTTCAAAATTTGGTCTTTTCTCCAGTCAACCTAATACTATTTACTTTTCATGGTGAATACTTGCTCCATGTAGTCTGTCCAGGTTTTATAGCTGCATTCAGTGGGAGACACAAGGCTACCTACCCCATCTTAGATAGAACTGGAATCTATGTAATTTCATTTTACTCCCCCAGGCCTAGCACAAGAAAGGACTTACCAGATGTCCAGTGAATGAACAAAGTGAATGAATGAATGAACCAGTGTACAAATCAGTTATTTGATTTATTTATGAATAACACAGAAATACTCATGTTTCCAAGAACAAATTTCTGATCACCATCAGTCAGTTCTCTCTCTTCTCTTCCTGGGAATGTGAGGTATACAGAACAGTTCTAGCCTGTTTATGAAAAATAATTTTTCTTGTTGAATATTTAAATCAGATAAATATTTCAAAAACAGAAGTTGCTGTGTCCCTGAAAAGGATTTGGACTGCACAGATTTCAATGAACTTTCTTGAACTCTGGTACTTGTTCAAATATTAAAAGAAAAATAAAAATTGACAAAGGACTTTCTTTAGTTGCATGTGTTTACAGCCTAGTTACTACCCATACAGGCTAAAGAGTAGGTTTAAAAACAACAACAACAACTCTACAGAGCTCTGTTGCCCATTCTTCTGTCTGCATATAAATTATTGGATCTATTTACAGTCCAAATGCTAGAAACCCCCAAGTACTTGAATAGCAGGCTCTTGTATTTCTGTCTCTTTAATCCTAGGCTGATCTGAACATTGCCAGCAATAGAATTTAGCTGGTGAGTCCAACATGAAATCAACTAGGGCTCATCTTTTCCATTCTTGAAGTTGGCTTTGACAGGGACCACAGGAGTCAATGGGACCTCTGTGTGTGGATGGGATTCCCAGGAGAGTCAGGAAGGGACGGATGATTCATGAGATAAAACATCCCAAAGGGACTCCACTTCCCTTTTAATTTTGTGTCCGTGTAAGGAATTTTGAAAACTGATGCTGCTGAAGACAAAATTCCCATCATGAGCTAAACAAGCTCCCTGACAGAGAGGAAACACAAGCTTCTGAGAACCAGGGTCCAATTCTCTTTACATAGAGGCCACACCGGTGGAGAAGGGCGCCCAGCCAAGTACAGTGCATGTTCTTTCAAATGGGATGTGGGCCTTGACCCCCTTCTGAAGAACCTTTTTCCACTCTGTCTGATTCCATAAGAATAAGTCAGTAATCTGCTCTAAGTGATCAAATGCCATTTCTCTGTGAGTCTACTTGTCTCTCCTCCCTTTTTGTTCTGTGTAGCTGCTTCGACTCTTTGAATGGCTTTTTCTGTCCTAGTTTATCACAGGTTTGAGTTGCATCCGTATCAGGCATTCTCTCTTATGGTAGATTTGGCACCAAATGGAGAAGATGAAATCCTCCCTAAGTCAGATCCAGTTTCAGGGAACCCCAGGGAACCATCTGTGCACTTTGGATGCAATGGTTTTGGTTTTATCTGAGTTTTGTCTCATTTGCTGCAGCCTGGAACATACTTGATTATGTAAGAAGTTTTATGACATAGGTCTAGTCTGGCCACAGAATCCACTCCCTGCCTCCACCCTGCAATCTCAAAAGCCCGACAACCTGCTGGGGTGCATCCTCTGGGTCAGCTGCCATCTAGTCCAAGTTGACAACTTGAGGAGGGTTCCTGCAGGTGGACTTTCTACCTCTGAAGACCCGGCCCCTTGGGGGACCACCCTGTTGCCACATCTTTCTGGTTGCTCCCTGGGAATGTTTGTTCTTTCATTTACATCTGGATCCAGCTAATGAAAACAGAATGTGACAGGTAGTCTATGTCGCCCCTTCTTGTAAAAAATGCATAAGCAAAGCATGCTTGTTGCAGAAAAATGAGATAAAAAGAAAAACATCTTAAAACTATTTTTCAGTAAAAATATCAGGCTGAGGTCACTTTCCTCCTTCCAGTCTTTCTAACTCAGCTCCTGCTCACTTTCATCAAGTATTGATCTTGCCCTTCACGGGGACAGTGCCCCTAGCAACCAATATTTTTTTTATTCCTAAACCACTTTAGCGAAGTTACTTTAAGGAAAGTGTTCTCCCAAGTAAAATGCAAAAGAAACATATATCCATGATAGAACAAAATATTTTAATGAACAGTTTAAACAACTCTCTTATAAGGAAGCTTCTGAGTGGGCCATGGCACTGCTTCTTAGGGTTGCTTCCTCTGACCAGCCTTCGTCCTGATGTTTCACGAGCCTGGGTAATTTGTCTCTTGTGGGTGACACCCAGAGTTCTCTATTTAGGACCTCTGAACAGTGGTTCCTTGCCAGGCTGACCAGTCTCTCAGCTTCCAATCGGCAAGATGATGCCTTTTCTTGCACATTCTTAACCCTATGCCTCTACCACTTCCTTTCCCCATTTTGGGGAGGATAGTATGTCAGGTATGAACCGCAATTCATAAATTCAGGAACAACCTTGGAGATTCTTTGTCTATAAACAAACTTACTTTCTACTTCAAACCTCCATTTCATCTGATGGCAAGAGTTTAATCTGTCCAAGTGGGTTTACACTCAGGTACAGATCCACCTCATCTGGGTCACAGTCTCTTCATGCTGGTATCGCCCAGTGGCTGCCTGCTCTCACCTGGCCTTTGGACTGCCAGGTCAGTGCTAAGTCATCCCTGACCCAAGGCCCCCCAATTCCAGCTTGCTCTCAGCTCAATGCTTTACTACTTGGAGCACAAAGGTCTTCTTTCCCACATGGTGCTGAGAAAAGCAGGAACCTCTACGGGGCTATCTATGTACTTCATTTCATCTCTGCTATTTCACCTCTTCATTACATCTCTGCTATTCTTGGGTGCAGAGGTTTTGGTGGGCTGTGTCAGGCCCCATGTTCAGGGCAGCTACATCACTTGCCAGACTCCATGTAAAATGAAAACACCAGACTGGGCAGGGGTTGGGAAAGTCAATGTCCCCTTCTCGAGGGCCCACAGCAGACAGCCAGTCCCCGAGGGATGGCAGCCTTCATACTGGTACACATGCAAACTCAGTCTCTGGATGAGTGGGCAAGAAGCTTCACCATATTGGTACCCTCAGCCTGAGGCCAAAAGGCAGCTTCCTTGAATCCCACCCCCAGATGCCATGGGGTGGGCACACCCAGCCCTGACACCCCCAGTGCCTGCACCTGTGCCCAGGCCCGCATCAGGTGTGAAGGGAGCTAGCAGATCACAACACAGGAAGAGGGAGATGAGAGGGGCTGTGGCACCAGGGGACATAGGAGTGAGCAGCAGGGATCCCAAGCCAGACACAGTGGGGGCAGGATGCACAGGAGTCACAGCTCCAAGCCCCTGGTGCAAGCTCCACTGTCCTGTGGTTTGGTTTACAAGTCACAGATTCAAAGCTAAAATTATTAAGAAATTCAGGGCAGCCACCACAGAGCATTCGACCTAAGTGCAAGGGCCTTCTGGGGGCAGTGCCCTCTGCATGACCCTGGTCACACAGCCAACAGGCTGGCCTGTGTGGTCAGATGCACAAAAGCTAGAAGTAGACTTCCTGTTTCTTGTACTATATCAGCCCTTACTTGGTGCAATGAGAATAAAAGTGTTCTAGCTGGGACCTCCCTGGTGGTCCAGTGGTTAAGACTGTGCACTCCCAATGAAGAGGGCCTGGGTTCAAACCCAGGTCAGGGAATTAGATCCCACATGCTGCAACTAAGAGTTCACATGCCACAACTAAAGATCCCACATGCCACAATGAAGATTGAAGATCCTGCATGCTGCAACTGAGACCCAGTGCAGCCAAATAAATACTTTTTTTTTTCTTTTAAAGGGGTTCTAGTTGTTGCCTGGAGTAGAGTCAGAGGAGAGTTTTGGGTAAGGGACAGTGCTAGAGTAACGGGAATTATCAGAAAGGAAAAAACCCTGAATTCATACTTTTAAAATGTTTTCTCACCACACAAGCATCAGCAGATCCTAGCCCTCCTGGACTCCTGGCTCTAGTCCTGTATCTTCTTCACAAGTGGTCTCACCTGGGGGACACCAGGGACTTTTGCACGACTGTCCAGGCTATGCCTCAAGCTCTGACTGGCATCTCTCCTAGGGGTTGGGGTGGGGAGAAGTGGGGGTCTCCTACTATCTAGGGCTAGGGCAGCGCGGTGTGGAGGTTTTATGTCAGCCGGTCAAGCTCTCTCAGAGTTGTATTTTAAAATCTAAACATGATCTTTAAAAGTGGGGTCCCACCCAGACCTGCAGTACCAGCTTCACTTGGGAACTTTTTAGAAATGCAAGTTCTCAGGCCCCAGCCCAGACCCACAGAAACTGAGGCTCTGGGGGCAGGGCCCAGCCTTTGTTTTAACAAGCTCTCCAGTGACTCTACCGCGCAGCCAGGTTGGAGAATCACTGCTCTCAAT